GATGAAAACCCAAGAGCCAGAAGATTAGTAAGAAAATTCATTTGTCCATTCTTTTCTTCTTTCCCCACCACAGGTATCTCAATACTCAGACATCAATGAGCAAAAGTAAGGATTTTTTTTTCCCCCAGCAGCCCTATCCACAAATGTCTTTAAAATTATCATTTCTATTCTGGGACGGATACCACAAAAGGAAAAAAATGTAACTTTCACTCTGCCACAATCTATCAACAGAGTGAAAAGGGTGTCTGCATGTGGAAGAACTCAAGGAAGCATTTGGCAGAGTTCATAAGACAAAAGGAGAAGATCAAACAGGTGAGGAAGAAGAAGGAACTGTGGAAGAAATTTGGAAATATTACAGAGCTGGAGAACCTTCCTATGGGTGACAAAGCACCCCAATGGCATAGAAAAAAAAATGTTCAGGAGTGTCTTTGAGATCAAGATAAGGAGAAATGACCACAATTTAACCAAGAGAGCAATAAAGTGTCTTGAAATGCCTTAAAACAAACTGTCTCCTTGCAAACTGGAGCTACTCTGGTTTTATACAGCAGAATTTACTGCAATCCAGACAATAAATCAGTGTTTTACAGCTTGTTTACCATGCATGGAGCCAGTCAATCCAGCTTAATGACTTGCAGGACACAAGCTCTAGAGACTTCTGGCTGCATTATTCAACACTGATATACAGCCCTGAGAAGAGTAGAAACAGGTTCTCATGCCAGCAGCATACAGATGATATCCAGGTGGGCAGGTACAACAACACTGAGAAACAGAAACAGTCAGGAAATCCTTGTCACCAGGACCAAGGGAAAAATTGAGTGTCTGTCTGACCTTGGTTAGCAAGGAGGGTCACATTAATTTATAATCACAGAATCATGGAATGGTTTGGGTTGGAAGAGATCTTCAAGATCATCCAGTTCCACCCCCCTGCCATGGGCAGGGACACCTTCCACTATCCCAGGTTGCTCAGAGCCCCATCCAGCCTGGCCTGGAACACTGCCAGGGATGAGGCAGCCACAGCTGCTCTGGGAAACCTGTGCCAGGGCATCCCTACCATCACAGGGAAAAATTTCTTCCCAATACCCAATCTAAACCTGCTCTCTGTCAGTGTGAAGCCATTACCCCTTGTCCTGTCACTCCAGGCCCATGTCCAGAGTCTCCCTCCATCTTTCCTGTGGGCTCCCTTCAGGCACTGCAAGGCCACAATGAGGTCACCCCAAAGCCTTCTCCTCTCCAGGCTGAACAATCCCAATTCCCTCAGCCTTTCCTCCCAGCAGAGCTGCTCCATCCCTCTGCTCCCCTTTGTGTCCCTGCTCTGGCCTGGCTCCAGTAGCTCCATCCCAGAGCACAGCCTTTTGCCCAGGGATCCTTTTGCAGCATCTCTGACCACTCCACGTGAAAGAAAAGTTATCCCCAGTCTCTGGAGGGAATTGTTTGGACATATATTATCTGGTATGTATCCCAGGGTTTTTTGGGTGGGTTTTTTCGGGTTTTTTGTTTTGTTTTGTTTTTGGGGTTTTTTGTGTTTTTTTTTTTTCTTGTTTTTTTTGGGTTTTTTTTGAGGAGGGGACACAGGGAAAAGAGGAAGCAAAGCTGAAGCAAGGGATCTGCTAAGGAAAGAGGAAATTGAGATTTAGTAAAAATATGTATTTGCACACTTTCTTTAGAAGTAGGTACAGCTTTGGACTAATCTGATACTACTCAGGGTCCAACTGAAAGGGCAAAAATGAGACTTCTCTTTAGGAATTATGAACTCTTTCATCTGAAGAAAAAAACAGGTTTAGGGCAGCCCCCAGAAGGCTTGAAGCTCCTGCCCCACCTTGCTGTCGCAGGCCAGGGGCAGAAATTGGGAGCGGCAGAGGCAGCAGGGACGCGGCACTTTTCACCGCGCTGCACTGAAGATGGAGCTGGAAGAAGAGAGCTGGCAGTGAAATAAAGCTTGTGGGTCAAGAGCTGAAATCACTGGGGCTGGGAAAGGGGATTTGTAGGGCGGGTGCTGTAATCACTGCAGGGCTGGGAAAGGGACTGCACACACCATAGGAACCGAAGGGCTGGCACAGGGACTCTGGGGTTCTTGCGACAACATCCCTTTATGCCTCTGACATGGATGCTGGGGCTGCCTATTACGCCTGAAACTAGAAGAGGATGTGTGGTATACATGTGTTTTAATCGTGTAACCAGATGGATTAAAAAAATCCAACACCCATAGCAGATTTCTGTTGGATCTGTGTCTGTGTGTTGGAGACGGAGAGACGCTGTTCGGAGGGTGGCAACAGCAGCAGGTGAGAGCTGTGAGGATGAGGAGGGCTCAGAGCAGCCCCAGGTGTGAGCTGTGAGGATGAGGAGGGCTCAGAGCAGCCCCAGGTGTGAGCTGTGAGGATGAGGAGGGCTCAGAGCAGCCCCAGGTGTGAGCTGTGAGGATGAGGAGGGCTCAGAGCAGCCCCAGGTGTGAGCTGTGAGGATGAGGAGGGGGCGGCTCCTGCCGGGGGGAGGTTGTTTTAAGGCGAGGGTTTGCCGCCGCTGGGTTGTGCACGGAGCTGCTGGAGAAGAGGAGTTTATGGGGGGCTCCCGGGGCTGTCTCATGGAAGGACGGTGAGCGCTTCGGACGGGGTCTGGGCGATCACCTGGATACGCGCTTGGGGATGTGGATCATTGCTCAAAGGAGCAGCCGAGGGACAAACCTTTGTGCCGAGAAGCAGCAGCCAAACAGGTGAGCCGGTGCGCCTTTGTAGCGGAGACTTTTCTCCTTTCCCTTTTAAATTTCTTCTTGCCAATCCCTCCCCGGTGCCCCCAGGAAAAAAAAAAAAAAAAAAAGATTTTGATGACAAACGAAATTCAAGTTGAGGGTGCCAGCTTCTCTTCCAATTATTGACCGTGTCTGAACTAGTGGAGGGTCCCGATTCACTTGTGGTTTTGAGGGTACTGATTGGAGGAAAACCTGCCTTTTCCAGGGTGTTAGGGATATCAGAGGGTAGACAAGGAATCCCTGTGTTCCCTTTTAAATGGAAGGGGACAAATATTTTTGTCGTATGATGGGTTTGAATTAGCCCACCCCTTTTCATCATCCTGAGGTCGAAATGGAGGAGCAGTTCTGTTGTCTCCCCTTTTAAAGGGTTTGGAGTGAGGTAAAAAGCCCCCTTTGCCATCATTTGAGGAAAGCCACTTCTCTGCTCTTCTAGGGGATGCAATGGAAGGGGAGCCCACATTTCTTTGCCCTAGTTGAAGTGAGGTGAGCGCCCGAGCGTGGCGTCAGTTTCGGGGCTTCAAAGGAAGGGAGGCGCGGCTGTGGCAGCGCTGGCAGGGTGGGCATGGGGCTGTGCCGCTGCATTTGGGGCGCTTCTTCAGCCCCTGGCCCGGCAGCGAAGGGTCCGGTGCGGGAGCCCCGCTGGCAGTGGCTGGGGATGGCCGAGGCGGGAGGGGAGTTTGGCGCGGCTGGGCTGCCGCGGGACTGCCGGAGCCGCGCCGGTGCGAGCCGTGCGGAGCCGAGGGGAGCTTTGGCCGGGCCGGCGGGCGGGGCAGGCGGCGCGGGCGCTGCGCCGGTGCCGGCCGCTCTGGGCACGGGGCTTCTCATCTTCCAGCCTTCCTTGCTGCGGTGGGTTTGAGGAACTTATTGGATCGCTTTCTTTTGTTCGTAGTTGGTGTAGGAGAAGGGCCGTGGGGCACTTTTTGCTTGCTACGGTTCTTGCTTCAGGTGCTGATGACAAGGGTTTTTTTAGATTGAGTTTGTTGTTGGTTTTTTTTGTGGGATATGTTGTTTTTTTTTGTTTTGATTATTTTTGTATTATAAAAATATAATTGTAGTTATCTTCATAAAGGATATGTTTTTTTTTAAGGTTTACAATGGTTTTTATGGGCTGTAGCATGAAGTACAGGGTTGGTTTGTGATTATGTTGTGGTGGCTTTTATTAATGTGAGTATGTAGTGTTTGTTAGGTAGGTTTGAGGTAATGTCCTGTAGTTAATTAATAAGGTTTTGGGTTTTTATAAATATTGATAACTGCATTCTTGTTTATTCTATTATACAGGTTTTATTCATTTGGTTTGTTTAATTGTCGTGGATGTTTTATTGTTAGCGGTAATTTGGAGTTATTGTTTATGGTTACATTTATCTTTTAGCGACGTGTTTATTTCTAGGTAGTATTTGTATTTTGATGGTTTGAGGCATTATGGCTTTATTGAGTTAGGAATATTTGTTGTTAATTTAAGTTTATTTATTTGGGGTTTTTGTTTTAGTTTGATGTATTTGTTGGTTGCTTTTTATTAGGGTTTTTTTTTTTTTAGGAACTTGTGTATTTATATGGTGGATATTTTTAGGTAGTTTTTTATTTGGGTACTTTTTATTGTCTAGTGGTTTAGATTTTTTAAAATATCGTTTATTACTTTGACTTTTAAAGTTAACTTAGCAGACTACTGGTTACTCTTTGAGTTAGTGTAGAGGTATGGTTTTCATTTTTAGTAGCTTTCAGGGTCTGCTGTATGGTTTGAAATTTAATAAGCTGGTTGGACTTCTTTTTCTAGTGGGTTTTGTGATTTGTTTTCTACATGTGTTTTGGTTTCTATGGGCTGTTTTTTATTTTTTCATTTTTGTGATGTGTCTCACGAACAACTGTTAGTGAAAAGAGTGTAGTGTGGGGTTTTTTTGCTGGTAGTTGGTTCTGTGGTGGTGTATTTTTAGTTTGTGTTGTTTGTTTTTGGGTTTCTTTTGTTAGAGACTAAAGTTTTTATTTTGGAGTTAATTTGTAATTATTTTTAAGGTTTTAGGGCAATTGAGATTTTTGATATGCATGTCCTGTATGATAAGAGTTAATTTATTTGCTTTATGTGGTATTGACAGCAGGGTAGAAGATATTTTTGTATAGAATGTGTATTTTAATCATAGTATTAAAATAATACCATGGTAAGAGGGGCTGTGTTTTATTGTTTGTTTTCGAGGTGGTTTGGCGTTTTCTTATAGGTTGGGGATTTTTTTGTTGGCTCGTGGAGCCATTCTGACTTTTTTTTATGAAATTGGTGAGAATTTGATGTTTCTTTTGTTATTTTATTTTTAGGAGTTGGATCTTTTCAGTAGTCTTTTTGATTTTGCTTTTATTTTTTTTTTTTGTGGTGTAATAGTCTTTTAGAAGAATCTGGATGATTTTAAAAAATATTTTTGTTATACTTTTCATCTAATGTTGTTGGATTATTACAGATGTTTTGGAGTTTTACTTTTTTTAAGTTTCATTTGGAAGAATTTATGCTAGATGGTAGGACTGTGTTTTTATTTTTGGGGTAGTTGGTTGTAGGTGTATTGTATGTTTTTTAAGTGAAGGTAAATCGGGGTTTGTATTCAGTTGTTAGAGGAAAGGAGAAAAATGTATTGGTAATGTTTACAGTGGTGTGTTTTTTTGTGGTTTTTGATTTAAGTTTGTATTGGAGTTTTAATAAGTTTGCTGCAGTAGTGTTTAATGGTGGAGTTATTTAAGGTAAGAAAGTTTATAGTTAATTCTTCTTTGTTTTAGATTTGTGTGTACGTTAGAGGAGGTTGTTGAAGGGGGAGTGTGTTTTGTAGGTGAATTTTAGTGTTTCAGTTTATAGAGCATTTTTTGGATGGGAGTTACAGTATTTTGAGTTGTTTGGTGTCGCTGGTGATGTATTGTTGAAGTGGTAAGGAGTATTTATAGGGGTTTTTTTTAAGTTTTATTGTAGATCTAGATAGTTGTGGTGGGCTGTTTAATTGTTTTATGGTTTTTGGCTTTTTAGTAGTTATTTAAAATATGTTTGAGGGTTATGGGTTTATTGAAATACTTGATTTGGAGGAAGTTCCTATTTAGAATGTATGATTTGTTTGGCTTAAAATAAAAATTTTATATTTTTAGTGAGGTTTATTTTTTTTCTTTTCTTACTGCTATATTTTGTGATATTTGTGTTGGGTTAGTAATAGGAATAGCTTTACTTTTATATGTTGAAATGAGGGTAGTGTGTACTGGTGTTCATAAAGGTTTAATATTTTTGTGGTTCTGATGTGTTAGGTCAATGAATTTATAAAGTTTACAATACTTCTTTTTGTTTTTATTTCTATACAGGCAGGGTTTTCTTAGTTTTAAGGATTTGTTTGGCGTAGATTAAGAGGCCTTATTGAGGGGATAGGACAGGGTTCCTCTGTTAATCTATTTGGTAATTTGGATATTGGCTAAATAATGTTAATATTTTGGTAGAATTTTTGGGTTTGGTTAATTTATTTATTTATAAACGTGTGCCTACAGCTGTAATGTCTCTGCTGCAGCTCTAAGTATCCATTCTTGTGTGCATTAGGTGGTCCAGTCGTGTTACACCGAGACCCCCTCTGCAACGGGCCTGCAGACCCGCTCCTTCGACCTCGTGGGAATTCGGGAAGCGGCACACGGCTCTGCGAGGAAGCCTTGATCTTTGTCCTTTGAAGGTGCCACCCAGGAAACCTTCAGGAGCGGCCGGGGAGTTGCTGTAAGTCGGGGAACCACTAGTGAGGGGGAGCCAGGGTCCGGTCGAATTTTGGGAACGCCACCTCACCTCGTCTCCTCTTCAGCCAGGCAGAACCTGCCTGGAGGGCGTGGGCAAAGCGTGCGGCCCGAGGAGAGCGGCGTTCTTAGGAGAATGGTGAGTAGCAGAATTGCTGGGTTTTGTCCATCGTGCAGATAAGATCATGCAGTGACATTTGGTGTTCTTGATTGTAGCTGGGCAAGGGACCACAGCCCGGTGACCATAGGACATTCCCAGCAGGCGAGGCAGCCTCCATTCACAAGTGACATGGATTCTCATCCCCAGATGTCTGAGAGATAAGTCAAGGGCTAAGGCCCACAGAGGGGATGAAAGCAAGGTGCTGGGAGGGCCTTTTGAATCAGCTCTGGGGGTGGGGATGTGCAAGAAGTGTCCCCTTAGGCCACCTAAAGGGAAAATGTTTCTTTGGATCACAGTGCTGAGGTGCGCAGGGCAGAGCAGTTCCGGTGTGTGTCCTGTCACTTGTCTCTGGTGCACTCTGTGTTCTTTGGGTCTCTCAGTCCTTTCTTCTCGACAAAAGCTCTCTCTCCCTGTCCTGTCCCCTCGATTGTCACGTCCTGTCCTGTGTCATGGGTGTCTGCACATATTTGTCCCAGAGCTGCTCTGCCCTGCTGCATAGCCTGTAATAGCACAAGTCCTGGGGACTTGAAATTGGTAATGCAGGGTGTAGTTGGGCTCTAGCTTTGTTGATTGCCCTATAATTTTTAGTGCTGTTAAGTTGTCCTGCAGCTGTTTTACACTAGTCCTAACATCCTTTCAGATGCAGACAGTTCAAATCAGTGGCAGCGAGCCCCAGTCCTGGGTGAGGATGTTGCCGTGACAGGTCAGTCATTGTTTGCATTTGCAGGGGAAGCCTAAATGCTGACTGTGTTACAGTGGTGTTCTTTGCCTCTATTTTTAGGATGTCCGGGCAGATAGCAGCAGTGAAGGCCCAGTGTCCAAGGTGAGCAGTGGACAGAAGCAGTTGTTCTTGCTCAGGTCTCAATGTTTGGTGCAACTCTAAGCATCAATTCTTGTTTTTGTGCTTTAGGGAATCATCTCGGAGTGCACATACCTCTGTCACCAACTGGCTGATGGACCAGGTTTCATGCACTTGTGATCTCGCTGGAAGCATTGCAGGACCCTGTGATGGACCTTCCAATTTTGCATTTCAAGGTCCCATCCTGGTAGCCCAGAGGAATGGCTGAGGAGTTGCAGTGAGTCGGGGAGGTAGGGAGGAGGAGTGAGAGTCCACTCGTGTTTCAGCAATGCCATGTTTCCTTGTCTCCACTTAACCTAGGTGTACCCTGCAATGACGGCGTCAGAATCCAAGCACGCCCGAAGCGTGCAGGCCAAGAACCCGGGCATTCTGAGGAGGATGGTGAGTAGCAGAATTATCAGGTTTTGGCCAATGTACTGTTAAGACTGTGCACTGATGTTTGGTTTTCTTTCTCTTGGTGAACCAAGAGGTGACAGCTGGAACTTAGCAGGCAGGCAGACGGCCTTCTTCTGCAGCCAACAGGGATTTGCATCCCCAGATGCGTGCAAGATAAGTGGAAGGTTTTGACCCAGAGAGGGGAGGAAAGCAGGGTGCTGGGTTGGGCCTTTCTAGAAGGGCTTTTGATGTCCAAGAAGCGTCTACTTAGGCCACCTAAAGGGAAAGTGTCTGTTTTGAGCACAGTGCTGAGTTGTGCAGGGCAGAGCAGTTCCGGTGTGTGTCCTGTCACTTGTCTCTGGTGCACTCTGTGTTCTTTGGGTCTCTCAGTCCTTTCTTCTTGTCGAAAGCTCTCGCTCCCTGTCCTGTCCCCTCCTTTGTCATGTCCTGTCCTGTGTCACAGGTGTCTGCACATATTTGTCCCAGAGCTGCTCTGCCCTGCTGCCTAGCCTGTAATAGCACAAGTCCTGGGGACTTGAAATTTGTAATGCAGGGTGTTGTTGGGCTATAGCTTGTATTTGTTGATTGCCCTAACATTTTTGGTGCTGTTAAGTTGTCCTGCAGCTGTTTTACACTAGTCCTAACATCCTTTCAGATGCAGAATGTTCAAATCAGTGGCAGCGAGCCCCAGTCCTGGGTGAGGGTGTTGCCATGAGCAGGTCAGTCATTGTTTGCATTTGCAGGGGAAGCCTAAATGCTGACTGTGTTACAGTGGTGTTTTTTGCCTTTATTTTTAGGAGGTCCAGGCAGATAGCAGCAGTGAAGGCCCAGTGTCCAAGGTGAGCAGTGGAAAGAAGCAGGTGTTCTTGCTCAGGTTGATTTATTAAAAAAATATGGATATTGATCTAGTATCGATATCCAACTGTGACGGACAAAAACTCTCTAACAGTTTAAAGTTAGAAAGTGTATGTTTATTCGACGCCGGGCAGTGTGCGGGATAGCTCCCAAATACACACCGCACCTTCCAGGTGATTACAGAGTCTTTTTATCCATACAAGTATTGAATATACAAAATACAAATGCATATTCATAATTTTGGTACATCCCATTCCCCGCTTCGTATGCTAATCACTCCAAAAGCTATTAAGCATGCGTAGTTTGTCCCTTGAAATGGGTCAGTGGTCCCTTTTATGGGGAGGGGTCCCAAAATGAGGAAGTAAATGAAGTCTTCCTCGTTCTGACCTTTCTACCTTTTCAATGCGGGTATGACAAATGAACTCTTGGTAGAACTCCCATTCCTTGTCTTCAATTGCTTTCAGAACAGAGGAGCCCCACAATTGTCTTATGTTCCTAAAAGCTATTTGTCAGTTTCTATATTCTTCATTATAAACCCAGCTAACCAAACATTGTGCGGACAAGCAATTAATTATTAGTTAACTACTAACTCCTAACTTCATCAAGGCCTACTCATTTATTATTCTTATTTTAATTAACTCTAGTAAGGCTTATTTCTAACTAAAATCTTAGCTCCTCAAAATCTCTAAATGCCTTAAAGTTTACGTTTCAAGGTCTCAATTTTTGGTGCAACTGTAAGCATCCATTCTTGTTTGTGTGCTTTAGGGAAGCCACTTGGAGTATTGCAAGCCCCTGTCACCAGCTGGCCGATGGACTGGGTTTCCTGCGTCTGTGAGTCCTCTGGAAGTATTTCAGGACTCTTGAGATGAAACCTTGAAATTTTGTATTTCAAGATGGCATCCGGGCAGCCTTTTGCAATGGCCGAGGAGTTGCGGTGAGACGCCGAGATAGGGAGGGGGAGCCAAGGTCCATTTAGGTTTCAGCAGTGGCGAGTCACTTTGTCTCTTCTTAACCCAGGCAGACCCTGCGATGACGGTGGCAGCCTCCGAGCATTGCCAAAGTGTGGGGCCTGAGCAACCGGGCATTCTTAGGAGAATGGTGAGTAGCAGAATTGCTGGGTTTTGTCAATCGTGCAGATAAGATCATGCAGTGATGTTTGGTATTCTTGATTCTCACTGAGCAAAGGACCACAGCCCGGTGACCATAGGATATTGCCAGCAGGCGAGGCAGCCTCCATTCACAAGTGACATGGATTCTCATCCCCAGATGTCTGAGAGATAAGTCAAGGGCTAAGGCCCACAGAGGGGATGAAAGCAAGGTGCTGGGAGGGTCTTTTGATCAGCTCTGGGGGCGGGGATGTGCAAGAAGTGTCCCTTTAGGCCACCTAAAGGGAAAATGTTTCTTTGGATCACAGTGCTGAGGTGCGCAGGGCAGAGCAGTTCTGGTGTGTGTCCTGTCACTTGTCTCTGGTGCACTCTGTGTTCTTTGGGTCTCTCAGTCCTTTCTTCTTGTCGAAAGCTCTCGCTCCCTGTCCTGTCCCCTCCTTTGTCACGTCCTATCCTGTGTCACGGGTGTCTGCACATATTTGTCCCAGAGCTGCTCTGCCCTGCTGCATAGCCTGTAACAGCACAAGTCCTGGGGACTTGAAATTTGTAATGCAGGGTGTAGTTGGGCTCTAGATTGTGTTAGGAGATTGCCATAACATTTTTGGTGCTGTTAAGTTGTCCTGCAGCTGTTTTACACTAGTCCTAACTTCCTTTCAGATGCAGACAGTTCAAATCAGTGGCAGAGAGCCCCAGTCCTGGGTGAGGATGTTGCCATGAGCAGGTCAGTCATTGTTTGCATTTGCAGGGGAAGCCTAAATGGTGACTTTGTTCCAGCAGTCTTTATTCTTAGGAGGTCCAGGCAGATAGCAGCAGTGAAGCCCCAGTGTGCCGGGGGAGCAGTGGACAGAAGCAGTTGTTTTTACTCAGCTTTCAGTTTCTGGTGCAATTATAAGCATCAATTCTTGTTTTTGTGCTTTAGGGAATTGACTCAGAGTACTCATACCTTCATCACCAACTGGCAAATGGACTGGTGCCGGGAGCGTGGCTTCTCGTTTTCCAGCCTTCCTTGCTGTGGTGGTTTTGAGGAACTTACTGGATCATTTTCTTTTGTTCATAGTTGGTGTAGGAGAAGGGCCATGTTGTGCTTTTTGCTTCTTAAGGTTCTTGCTTCAGGTGCTCATGACAAGGTTTTTTTTTTGGGGTTGAGTCTTGTGGTTGGATTTCTTTTTTATGGGTTCTTATGTTTTTGAAGGGTCTGTTTTTAAAGGTTTATAATGCTTTTTATGGATCGTAGCATGAAGTAGAGGGTAGGTTTTTAATTCGGTTGTGGAGGCTTTTATTGGCGTGAGTATGTAGTGGTTTATTTTGGTTGGTTTGAGGTAGTGTCCTGTAGTTAATTATTGAGGTTTTTTTAATATTGATAATTGCATTCTTGTTTATTATGTTGTAGGGGTTTTATTTGTTTGTCTTGTTTGATTGCTTTGTATGTTTTTTTGTCTCAGAGAATTTGGGAGTTATTATTTATGGTTACTTTTCTCTTTTGGTGACATGTTTATTTCTAGGTGGTATTTGTGTTTTGATGGTTTGAGGCATTCTGAGTTCCTTGAGTTAGGAATTATTATTTTGTTGTTGTGAATATTTTTTTTTTTTTGTAGTTGGATGTATTTGTTGTTTTTTATTAGTTTGATTTTTGGGAACATGGGTATTTCTATGGTGGATCTTTATAGGTAGTTATTTTATTTGGGTGGTGAGTTTTTTGTTTCTTCATGGTTTTGATTTTTTTATATCTGTAATTTTTTGGGGGGGTTAATTTTATAGAGTATTCGGTTCTCTTGATGAGTTAGTGTAGTGGTAGAGTATTGTTTGTTTTTTTTATTTAGAAACATTTGGGATCTGTTGTATGGTTTGGAGTGTAAGAGATTAGTTTAAGAGTCTTTTTCTTTTTAGTGGTTTTTGAGCTTTGTTGGGTGGGCTTTTATAGGTGTTTTTTTTAATTAATGTTCCATTTTTGTTATGTGATAAGAACTGTTAGTGAAAGGAGTGTAGTGGGTTTTTTTTTGCTGGTAGTTGGTTGGCTGGTGGAGCCTTTCTGAATTTTTTGGACAGTATTGTTGGTTATTCGATGCTGTTTGTTTTGGCATTTTATTTTTAGGAATTGGATTATAACTGCAAAGTTCTAACTGTAACTCTAATGAAGCAAAACAAATGCATAAATATGAAAATAGGAATATAAAACTTCAATTTTAAATATAAACGGAAAATATATAAATAAAACATGTAACATAAATAATGTTATCCATTACTATTAGATAGTATATTGTTTGATATATAGTATGTTATTTGTTTATATAAATACATATAAATATAGATTATAAATATAAATAAAATCCATATAAAATATCCATATTGAGATGTATAATTAATACATGTGAATATATAAATATAAAAAATTACTAAATAATAGAAATCAATACAGTACATAATGCATATTTTACTGTATATGCCCTATTTTAACACATTCTATGTCCTAAATATTATATATTGAAATACTGTACCTCAATATATTGTAAACTAATATATAACAACTTGTAAAAATCAAAAATAGAAAGATAGAGATATTTAAATATAGTTTAAAATAAAGGGGACTTTATTTTGTATTTGGTAGTAGGTAGGGGTTTTTTTAAAAAATCTATAAATATAAATAAAATTAGAAATCTATGTATAGAAATACATCCTAAATACCTTAAGATCTATATAAAAAATTCAAAGGTAAGTAAAAATAAATATTAGCAGTATCTATGAAATATAATATAAATAATAATTTGTCTATCTTGCTACCTTGATATATATATGAGATATATTTATAAATACATCACTATAAAGTAGAAATGCAAATGTGCCTATAATGATGAAAAAAATATATAAATATATAAGTACCGTTTACAGAAAGGGCTTTTTAATGTTTTTATTTGGTTAGAGGCAGGGTTTTAATGGAAGAAAAATGAATATACCTTTTATTTTGATACCATTCTAAATATAGAAATATATATTCAATGTATACAGAGATATTTATATTCTATCTCTTCCGAATACTTAGTTACATTTCTTTTTTATATTTTTATATAACACCATACATCAATCTACATTTTAAATGTAAATTTGGATATAAATGCGAAAAATAGAGATAAATTTAAACGCAGTTTAAAAGAAAAGGGTTTTTTAAAAGATTTTTACTTGGATAGAGGCAGGGGTTTATTTTAAGCAATATAAACCTTTTAGAAATAGAAATCTAACTATAGAAATATGTAAGCAATGTATTAAGCAATGTATAAAAATTGTAATAAAATATAATAGGAATAAATGTAAGAAATTATAAAAATTGCAATTATACATCAATACACATTATAAATCCGAATGTGAATATAAATATGAAAAATATAAAAAAAAAATATATTGAGATGCAGTTTGAAATAAAAGGTTTTTTCTTTTGGTTCTTATGGGGTTAGAGGCAGGGGTTTTTTATCGGGGTTCTTTTCCGCGCAGGATGTTTTTGGGGATTTGCTGAAGAGGACGGGCGGCAGTGCTGCCGCCTTGTGGACACAGCGCGGTACTGCAGCTCGCCGCCCGCGGCCGCCATCTTGGGTGTGGCGTGTCGTGGACTCGCTTGACCTTCTCAAGAGGGCGCGAAAAAGAGGACAGGAAAGTCGAGGACCCGTGTCTGTTTTCTACACTGCCTGAATTGTCCCCAACGCCGGAGCCCCCCGACGGGATTTTCCGTGGCGGTTCCAGTGCCGTGCACACGGGCTGTGGGGTCAGCAGCAGTGCGAGCGTGCGGGTTTTTGGCGGGGGCCGACAGGCATCGGAAAAAACGCCTGTTTCCATCAAGGTCCTCACGGGCTGCCATCTTGGGCGTGCGCTGTCACGGACTCGCTTTAAAAGTGCTGCCGCCTTGTGGACACAGAGCGGTACTGCAGCCCGCCGCCCGCGGCCGCTATCTCGGGAGTGACCTGTCGCGGACTCGCGTGCCGTGCACACGGGCTGTGGGCTCAGCGGCTCCGCGGGCGGATTTCGAGCAGGCGCCGACCGGCATCGGCAGATTCGCCTCTCTCTGCCCGGCTCCTGCAGCGGCCGCCATCCTGGGCGCGGCCCCTGCCTCTGCCGCGCTGGGTGCCCGTCCCGTCCCCTCCCGTGCGTTCCCACCGCCTCCCTGCCGTACAGCTGGAAATAAACAAAACCAACGTAGAAATATATATAGGTTAAACAGAAAGGGCTTTTGGGGCGGGGCGGCGTTATTTGGTTCGAGGCAGGATCTTTTAGTTTCTGTGCGGGTTTTTTGGGATATTTATTTCGGAGGATTTTTTCCCAAGGGGATCGATCGCCGCCGCTCTTTTCCCCCTGCCTCCCCTCCGGGCGAGCGGCGGCCCCCGGCTGTGGCGGGCGGCGGTGCTGCCGCCTTGTGGACACAGAGCGGTACTGCAGCCCCACAGCCAGCGCCCGGCCGAAAACCACCGAGACGGGGCGGGAGGGGCCAGAGCGGCCCCAAACCCACCGAGACGGGGCGGGAGGGGCCAGAGCGGCCCCAAACCCACCGAGACGGGGCGGGAGGGGCCAGAGCGGCCCCAAAACCACCGAGACGGGGCGGGAGGGGCCAGAGCGGCCCCAAACCCACCGAGATGTGGCCGGAGGGGCCAGAGCGGCCCCAAACCCACCGAGATGGGGCGGGTGGGGCCAGAGCGGCCCGTTTAAAAACTACCGGGACGGGGCGGGAGGGGCGCGGGGCGGCAGCGAGCGGCGAGTGGGGCGGTGTGTGTGAGTAGAGGGGAGCGGTGAAGGCGGCTCAGCGGCGGCGCCAGGGAAGGATGGCAGCGGCGAGGGCAGCCCGGCGGGGCCGGTGTCGGCGGGCGGCGGAGGCGCGGTCGCAGCGCTCACGGGCTGGGGCCGAGCGGCGTCGGAACAGGGCTGCGCCCGCCCCTCCTGCCGCCCTCCTGGGAATGGGTTGAGGCATTATGGGCTTATTGAGGTAGGGATAATTATTATATAATTATAATTATTTTGTTGTTTTGTAAACAAATGTCAGTTGTTCTGACAGGAACAGGCTGAATGGGGCTGTAGCTCTGCCTACAAGGTCAAGCAGTGATAAGGCCTTGTCAGCACCCTGGGAAGTAGAGGATGGGTAAAGAAGTGAGCCTCTGTGTAGCACTTCTCTGTAACTGATTAGCAGCTGCTGTAGCATCATTTCCTAGACATTGAGTGGTCTGGGGCTGGATTAGAAAAAAATTAGGTTTAGTGTGTTGTTTAACAGCTGCAGGTGGAGGAACCTGTGCCTTCTGCTCTCCCCACAGCTGTCTCGGCTGTCACACCTGTCCTGAGGAAAGCCCTGTGGAAGGAGCTCGGTGCCGGGATTCAGGACCCTGAGGCCACTGTGAAACTGCAAATTCTTTCCAAGCTGTTGCCACCTCCGGGAAGCAAAGGGCTGCACAACCTGATGGACTGCCTTCCTGCTGCTCCGGAGAGAGCAGGCAATGAAGAGAGGTGGGCAGTGTGTGTGTGTGTGCCTCCCCCAGGGCTCAGTTTGTCCTGGGAATCAGTGTGATAGGAATGGGGGCAGTAACAGCATCCTCTCCTCCGAGAATCTGTTGCTTTGCACTTTGGCAGCAAGACATCTTTAAGATATACAAAACCAAGTTAAAATGTTAATAAGAAAATCAACAGCTATCTCTCTGCAGCTGGGCCGTGGCAGATGCCATATCCACGGTGCTTAAAAACTCAGAGGAGCTGCATTCCTGGAGGAGACATCTCTTCTCAGCCTGCATAAAGGGGTTAGTTGCCATGTACAGCAGCAGTAAAGATGAAGGCAAGCAAGAAGTGGAGAGGTCCATGCTGCTGAGGCTAGAGGAATTATTGGTGAGACTGCTTATCTGCTTTGCCACAGAGGGACTGTATGCATATGTGTGACTGGGCAGTTGTAGATTTTGTAAATACAGATTGGACTCGATTTCCTGTTTTATGGATTCTGGTTTCCATGGATTTTTCATAGCTTTTTCTGAGTCCTGAGAATCCTTTATACGAGGCAGTTTTATGTTCTTGATGATGGCTTTCTGATACGAATCCCCTTTGAAAATAGGATTGTTGTATCCAAGAGCTTTTTTCCCTGTTACCCTCAGATCATCCCACGTGAGTGTTTGGCTTGCGTGTTCTTAGTGTGTCCTTTGAACAAAAATTGCCGTAGAAGCTCCATGTGCCAAATGTAAACCAACACCTGTTTTTACTTGCTGCACACAGTGTGTGGTTGAAGAAGTGGACCCAGATGACTGGTGTGACCTTGTGAAGACAGGGCTCAAGTAAGTGCTTTCATTTGAATTTGGTTTGGTTTCACCAAGTTCATTTTCTTTGCCAAGTTCTCATTTCTTACCCAACTTGTAGCTTCAAGTGGGTTTTCTTGGGTTTGGTTACAGTCTGACTTCTCTGTGATCCTTCTCCCAAAGGTACCGTTACAGAGATGAAACATTTCTGAAGGTCCTGAACGTTGCCATCCAGTTACTATACATGAAAGAATCCTCACTTAGAGCGTAGTCAAGCTCTCCAAACTACACATGGGGGTCACACAGCACTCTCTATTTTTGGCAGCCATCCTGAGGTCAAGAGAAGAAGATGGCATGAGCGTCCAGACAAGAGGTATTTTTAAATCATCTTCTTCCCATCCTAAACACAGCTAATCTTCTCTTTCTTGCATTATATTCTTTCTATCCAGTGACACATCCACCCATGTAAATACTTGCAGAGTTATTAGCAGTTCCAGAATACTGGCAACCTCTGTTGCCAAATTGTAACTCTGCTTGGATCCAAATGTTACATTCCTTTTATGCTGGTTTTAAAGACTTCCGTTTTTAAAACTACTGGAAAGGTGGGTTTGGGTTTTTGTTTGCTTATTTGTTGTTCTGGTATTTTTAACCCAGCTGAAGTCTTGGATTTATTCTTTTGGTTTCTGAGGCACTTAGTGTAAGATCACTGAAGTGCACATAGACCCTGTGGTGTTTAAGCCTCGGCTACACGTGGCACAGGCTTCTGAAAATGGAAATGGCCTTGGCAGAGTAGCAGCTGTGAAGCGAAGCAGAATTAAAATGCATGTGAGCAGAAGAACCAAGTGAAATGGTACTTCTGGGTGCTGTGTGCTCCTCTGGCCTCTGCCTGCTGTGAACACTTTCTGTTGCAGCTCGGTGTAGTCCAATTCAGTGTTTGTTTGGTTTGATTTTTGTGTGTAACAAAAACACTGGTCACTTACTCTAAACAACTTCCCTCCTTTACTGGACCCATCCTGGAGTAGGACCAGACTCCCCCTCACCCTGGAGGAATTCCCTGCTCCTCTGGAGAGGGGTGAAGCCAAAGCTTAGGAGCAAAGGCAAACCACCAAACCAGGGGCATTCTATATATATCCAAATAAGGGGCTCTGTCTTCCTGCTTTTCCTGTAGTTCTCCTTCCTGGTTTCACCTGGCCTGGAAGGATGGGCATGGCCTGTATTTATCATATGAAAGTGGTGTTACTAAATCCATCCAGAAGTTCTGATTACAGACACTCATTTTCTGCCAGAAAACATTTTCATTTCATTCTTTTCACCCAGGATGGCTCTCTGTGGTCTCAGACAGTGTTCCATGGGAGGAAGGGCAGCCTTTGCCTCACCTGCACAGCTCAGATGGATGTGACAGAACTGGTGTGGCCTGACAAGGCATGAGCAGCTGTCTGTACACTGGAGTGCCTTGAAACCTTTCTCTGTGAGGTTTTGGACACATTTCTCTTTGGGATTTCTTGTGACACAGCACCAGGTATCCCTTCCTTTGTATAACGTCCCGTGGTAACGGATTGAATGACTGACAAGTGGGGCCTGGGATAAAAATGGTTCTGTTAAAATTAGGCTAAGAATGCAATTGAAAAATGAGCTTCATTTTAATGAAATAGTTAGGAATAAAAATGCTTTTATATTTGAATTGGTGTCCCCTCTCATGGATAAAACCCCATAGTGAGCAATCACAGCAGAAGTGTGAAAGCTGGGATCCATTGGCTTCCACAGTGGGCTTAATGCTCTTTTCCTCCTCTCTTTCAGGACAGGAGAAATCATTGAGCTCCTCCCATCTTTGCCAGAAGCTTCGGTGTTTAAGCAGCCAGAGCCAAGAGGCTTCAGCACCAGGGGTGTGCGCTGGAGGGCTCCTGGTCCTGCCCACGCTGTGGGGTAAGTCGGAGGGACGCAGGGTTCCCCTTTTCCTCTCTGCTGGGATTAAGTGCCTCGGGAATGCCATTTCTGACAGCCCAGCCCTACCCCTGTGTGCTGGGAAAGGGCAGCAGGGAAGAGGCAAATGCCAGAGTTCCTTGGGGCTGACGGAGTTGTGGTGTTTGGCTGTGCCCAGGGGGGCAGGCTGGGCATTGTTCGGGCACCCAAGGACTGGTCTGGGGCTGGGAGCCCGGGGAGCCGAGCTCTCGGTGCATTCCCAGCTCTGCCAGCTGCTGCAGGGCTGGGTGCCAGCCTCTGCTGGGGCTGGGACAGGAACTGCAGGGGAGGGCTGGCAGGATTTGGGAGCAGAGGGAGGAAAATGAGGAACGGTGCTGGGCAGCGCTCAGCCTGTGCTGGTGTCAGCGCAGCCGTGCAGGGTGCCGGGATCTGGGTTCAGCTCCGGCTCTCCTGGGGTTCAGGGTGCAAGGTCGGAGGGACTGGGTTTATCTGTGGCTTTCCAGGCCAGCAGGAACAAGGGGAATGTGGTGCCAGAGCTGTGTCCCATCGGGCTGCGCTTCCCTCTGAGCACAGAGAGTCTGGGCTGAGGGGAGATTGCTGCGAGTGCCCCGTGAGCAATCCAGGGAACTCGGAATTGCATCCGCTGCTGGGAACACTGCTGAGCTCTGCTCAAGCTGTGTCTGCGAGGAGTGGGATTTGGGCTGCAGAGGTGCTGCTGGGCACAGAAAATGGAATAAATCCTCTCCAGGGACGTGCAGTGAAGGACAGTGCAGCAGGGAAGGGGAGTATTTGCAAATTATATCAGTATTTCTCCCAAAACTGGGAGAAATGGGGTGGAGCAGAGATGGGGTGGTTTGGTTTTGTCTGGGCCGGTTATTCCTTGTGCAATGTTTTAAATCTGTTGTAGGATTGAATCTCCAGTCTCTTTCTAACAAAAGCTGACAGAAATTTAGGTTCAGGGTTAGAAGTTGGGTCCATTCACTGCAAAACCTTGCCCAGGCTGGAGGACTGGGGTGATGGCTGCTCTCAGCAAAGGTTACCTGTGAATACCGTGTCAGATTTCCCTCAATGCTGGGCAGGAAAGGTGAGGGTTTGGATCAGGAATTCTGCAAACAAGGCCTGTGTGATGTTGGTTTATTGTGTTTTTCAGGGAGCCAGGGCTGGCACAAGGACTCATGAAGGTGCTGCTCTGGCACTGGAGCTGTTGCCCTGTGGAGCCATTTTAAAGGTCTGATAATGGAACATTTTGGAGGCCGTTTCTGGAATTCCATTTGTAGCTGGATCTCGCTCCAAGTGCAGCAGTCCAGGTGAGGGTTCTGACCTCTCCAGACTTGTGTTCACCTTGGTACAGCCTGGGGCTGGAGCAGGTTTTCCAGGGAAGTGGAGATGGCTGAGGATGGGTGCTCTGGAAAGCAGGGACCTGCTGGGATTTGCATTTGCAAAGCTGCCGTGAAGTTTGTAAAACCAGCAGGAAATTCTAATTCCTGTGGTTTTTGGGGAGGAGGTGCAGGTCACCCTGAGAGCTAGATCAGAACTGGTTTGTGGTAAGGAGTCTGAGGTGTGTAAGTGCCACAGCTGGTATGAGCTGTGTGCTAAATGCAGTCCCAGCCCCAGAGGGAGGCTGATGGGCTCTGCTCATTGCTGTCCCCAGCTGTCCCCAGCCCGCTGCTCCCCCGTGGATCTGCTCTGGATTCGGGCTGTCGGTGCTGGAGCGCCCTGCTCCCTGCAGGGCCCTGCCCCTAACCCACGCAGAGAGAGCCCTGCTGGCCAGAGTGATCTTTTTTATTCCTTTATCCCTGTGCTGTTAGCAAGGAAGGGATGGGACTGCTCTTGGCCGGGAGCACTCAGTGCTCAGGTAAACACCCGCCTCGGAGCGTGAGGGTTTGCAGAGCGAGCAGCTGCTGCGGCTCAGGAGCAGCCACAAGTTCTTTGTTCCAAGGCAGGCCAGAACTTTCTAACCCCGGGGTTTATTTGGCTTTTCGAACCCAGCACCTCTGCTCAGTTCTGCCGCACTGAGGGTACTTTTGTTCAATGCCTTCTGTTGGAACTTGTCAGCTCTCAGTGTAGCGCACACAGCCCCAGCCCTGCCCTGCAAACCCTTCCCCATCGTGCCCACACAGTTTCTCTCTCACTCACTCGGGGCAGGCTCTTACTGACAGCCACAGAAACAGAAGTTATTTTATTTTATTTTATTCTTTTCCTGCGTAATGCCCGTGTCTTGTATTGGTACATCAATCCCAGCTTCTCCCGAGGCTGCAGATCAAATCTTTCAGTGTCTGTGGGAGTTTCTGGTTTTCCCATTCCCATGTCTTCCCCCTCTCTCTGTATGAAAAAAATTTATTAGTGGATTTGTTAAGCATTTGTTGCATGTATTAACATAAAGAAGGTGTTATCATTAGTATTATTATTATTATTGTAATAATATAATTAAAATGTATACTTTTGTTATAAGATTTTTTAATTATGGTGTTAAATTTTATTTATTGTTATGTTTTATTAGTTATTCTTATTTTTGATATTTCTTAAAGTTGTACACTTTAATAAGTAGATTTGGTGTTTTAGATAAATGTATACATTTTATTAAATTTTTATATTTATATTTGTATGTTAATAAAATAAATTTTTTTGTTGGTTTTTTGTAAAACTGCGTATTTAATAGTTTTATATTTGTTAAAAAGTTATTTAGGGTAAGGGATGTCGAATTAGATTGTTTATTTAGAAAATATTTTAATTGATTTAATTGTTTTAGTGTTGTTGAAGTAATAGGTGGTATAAAAACTGATGCTACCATTTTGATTTTAAGTTTCAAGGCTTAAAATTACTTTTATATTTTGATTACTATTGATGGATAAATGACTTTTTTGTTTTAAATTGGTAGCTATTTTAATATTAAGAGTTAATAATGTAAGGGCTTTTTAATTATATGGACTATTTGTAATGGTTTTTATTGGTATCTTAAGTAAGTAAGTAAAGAATGGATTTTTTTGAGTAGTGCTAGATAAATACAAAGTATTTAAACTTGAAACTTTAGTTAAAGTTACTTAAATGTTTGTTTTAGGTTGGTTAATTGGTAAAGTGACATAATTAAAAGTAAATAAAGTAAATAGAGTAGAAGTAAAATATTTGATAGAATTTCATAATTTGTAAGTTACTAAATAAGATTTTTATAACATTGATTTTTATATTTATAAAGAAACTTCAAGTTTCTATATTTTCGTGGGTGTAGTACAAGATGTTAGGTGTAAGTTGCAATTCTTGTGTAATCTGCGTTTGTATTTCCATAGTGTAATTTGTCTTTGTATTTACATTGGTGTTTTATTTGTGGAGTGGTGAGTGTGTTTTTTGTGTGATCTGATTTTATGTTTCTCATTGAAATTTACTTGGGGTTTTGTACTTGTTGAGATATAAGTAAACTTTATGTTTTGATATGAGAAATAATAAGTTGTTATAATTTTTCAGTTATAAGTATGAAGAAATGCAAGAGTAAAATAATGTATGTAGTAAAGAAGAAATTGATAATAATTAGGAATTACTTAGATAATATCTATAATTAGTAACATAGGTGAAATTATATAATTAGTAAGTATTAAAAGATTGTACATACTTTTAGCATTTATAACAGTTGATAAATGTTAAATTAGTGGTAAGTTAAATCATTAGGTGTGGATAATGATTTTTTAAGTTTATTTTAAAAATAAGTTTATTTGTTATATTGTTAAATTGTTAAGTTAAAATTATTTGAATTTATTTTTGATGTAGAAAATATTTGGGTTTGTTGTTAATTATTTTATTTAGGTAGAGTTAGGGTTAGGTTATAGTTTAAATTTTAATTGGTGAATGTTATTTAATATATTTTTATATAATGTTTTTAAAAATAGTAGTTAAGAGTAAAAATGTTAGGATTAAAGATTAATTACATTATTTAATAATTGGATTTTTTTAGAAGTTTTTTAGAATAGAGATGCTTTGAATATAGTAAACTTCTTTTTAAAGATTTGAAAGTGGTTATGGACAGGATTGTGAGTTTGGATTTGGATATTGAGAGTGTGAAGGTGGAGGAAATGTATGAGAGAGTGATTACTTAGTGTGAAACTTAGAAAAAGAAATTAATGTTGTAGTTGGATTTTGTATTCAAGTGATTTTGTAATAATAACTGAGGAAAGTGATAAGATTAACAGTTTGGAGGAGGTTTTTAATGAAATACCTTTTTAATCTTGAAAAATATTTAAAATTATGAGATAACATTAAGTTAAATTATAGAGTTAGTGTAGAGATTAGTTAGAGAATTAACTTGGTTTAAGCGCTGTATAAGTTGAGAATAAAAAACTAGAGATTAGAAATTTTATGTGGTTTTTAGATCATTATATAAAGAGATAATAAAGTATATGAAAGTTAGTTGTAAATATTATAACAATATTTAATAAATATTGATTATTATAAAAATTAATATATTGATATAATATAAATAGTATATTAGTGGTAAGCGTTTCAAGAAGTTAGGATAAATTTTAAAAAATATTTATATATTAAGGAAATAGAGTAAAATTTTTAAACAGCATGATATGAATAGTAATTGCTATTTTTTGGTGTTACTTATAAAAGATAAGAGTAGAAATTGTAATGAAGTACAGAATTTTTGATGAAATTGATGATATAATACACTGTACTTTTTTTTACTTCTGAATAGGTATTTGTCAGTGTTTTCTTTTAGTTGTTTTAATTGGAGGTGTTTTATTTTTTAAGAAAATTAACCATATACTGTATAGTTTAGAGAAATGATTTTTTTAATAAAATTTAGCATAAGTTATATTAAATAACATTTAAATTTAGACTGAATGAATTTTGATAGTAAGGAATAATAAACTAAATTTTAATTGATAAAAAGAAAATGTATTTGTTTAAATGTATTGACACTTAATTTTGTTTGATTTTATTAATACTTAACATATTGAATGTTATTACTTATAAATATTGAAGGTTTTTTAAGTCTTTTGGTTTTGAAGAAATTTTAGCTTGTTGAGTTATGATTATTACTTATATCTTTACAGGGTGGTTTTACTTATTGGGAGACATGTTTCTTAGGAAAATATTTTTATTTATGTTACATTTCAAAAGGTACTAATTTGTATAGTGGGGTTTTTTTTAATGCAGGATATTGATTAGATTGTTTTATAGTTTTTGTGGGCTTTGACAAATATTTATATGGTTAGGCTTTTCTATATTTGAAGTATGTTTTGATGGTTTTTGTTGATATAGAATTTGAAGAGTATTTGGTGTTTGGAGGAAATAAAGGTGAGGGTTTTTTGGATACGGTTGAGTTGTATTTTTAATGTTAGTAAGGACTACTTTTGGTACGTTATTTTGATTTTTTGTTTGGTTATGGGGAGGGTCTCCTGTTAGATGTGCAAGCATGAGACTGGCACTAGGGCTTTTTGTCTAATGGTTGATGGGTCTGTTTTATGGGGAGGAGGTGTTATTTTAAGTTTTATAAAATACACTGAGAATTAGTTAAAATCATGGAAGAAACATTATGGTAATTAAACAGTGCTATGTTTAAAGAGCTATAAATCTTTTTTAATAACTGCTTGACATAAGGTGAGTTTAATCTACTTTTTCTGCCCCAGCAAGCATCAGGCACGTCTGCATCAATGGCACGACCTCTGCCCACTGCTCCTGTTTCACCCGACCAAAATCAAGAGCAAAAGTTGGTTGGGCTTTAAGAACTTGAAATAACTTTGAAGCAAAATAAATCACATTTTCTCCCTGTGTTTTTTTCCTTTCAGATGCTGCACTCACCTCTGCACACACACACTGAGCTCTCACTGCAGGAACCCGTCAGGCCTCGGTGGCTGTGAGTTCATGTTCTTCTCACTGGGGAATTGAAATAATTGTTGATTAATTGCAGAAATGTTTTATGGAGCCTTTCCCCTTTTGTGCCCCTGTGCTGTGTGGGACAAGGGCAGAGGAGCCTCGGGCTGGAAAGGGGCGGGAGAAGGCAAAGGGACCTCCTGGTGTCCCCAGGGCTCTGTGGGGAACAGAACGGACACTGTGCGGGCACGGGGAGGTGAGGAGTGACAGTCTGGGGCCAAATCCCAGCTCACCCGCAGGGAAATAAGTGAGGGACATCTTGGAGGGGAAAGCTGAGGTCATGAGTTCACCCAGCCTGGCCAAGTTGTGTTCGCACAAAGTGGCACCAGAGGTGAAGGTCAATCCAGAGCCCACCCTGCTCAACCTCTAAGTCCCAGAATAAATTCTACAAGCTGCCCGTTGAGGGACTAAAAATACATGAAAGAGAACCAAGAGCATTCCGAGAGCAAACCAGAAGGTTCCTGGGAATCCCATTACATTGTTGTCGTAGCCTTTTTGACAGAGCTCTATGTTTTTTATTTCAATGTTGCGTTTCTCTGCTGGCATCATTCACTCCGGGGGGCTGTGGGGATTTTTTTGGGATTGAACTCCCTCCCAGTGGCCCTGACACTGCTCAGGAGCTGGAGGAAAAGCAGAGTCAGCTCTCCTGGCAGGGGCAGGGAGTTTTCCCCCAGAGCAGATCCAGCAGCTGCCTTCTAGCTCAGCCAGGAGGGATCTGCTTTGGCTCCTGGCACCTGCAGGCACAGAACGTGTTCAGCTGCTCCAGGTGACATTCCAGCAGCCTCATCTCCCATCCAGGAGGGATCTGCTTTGGCTCCTACAGGGACAGAACGTGTTCAGCTGCTCCAGGTGACATTCCAGCTGCCTCATCTCCCATCTGTGCTCCCACCCCTCCTGATCTCAGCTCCCACCCAGCCAGCTGTGCCGAGGGGAATTTGTCCCACCAGCAGCAGGGGAAGGACACGAGCTCCCACCTTGGCACTTGGATTGTCCCTCTGGGGGATGCCGGCTCTGGGATTTAGATCCTTCCATACATTTGGCTGCTGAAACTTCCCCACCCAGGGGATTTAGCACAAAGATTGTTCTCTGCGTGGTGCCTGGATTTGGGGTTCAGTATCAGCTTTGCTAGTTCAGATGAATTATACCCACAGCCCCAGGTTCCCTGCTGAATTCCTGCTGGAATAACCTGACAGTGCCTCGTGGAGAGTGGAAAATACCATGCGGAGCTGCCTCTTTAGCACCAGCTGTGTCAGGAACCAGCAGAGGTTCCAGGGAAGCTCAGTGGGACAAGAACAGGTCTCTATTCTACAGAACTTGCTATTTAAAACCCTCATCCCCCAGTGCCAGGGATGTGTCTGGGGTCACTTGACAGAGTTCCCTGGAATTCAGTTGATTTCACCCCCTGGAGCTCAGGCTCCAGCTGATGTTTTAAAGCAGGACAGGGTGGTGGCTGGATGCGCTCCCGGCCTGTGCTGAGGCAGAACATCTCTCCTGCAGAAGCTCCGCTCCTTTCAGAGCCTCAGCAGTGGCCTCTGCATGTCCTTTTCCCTCAGGAAAGGGATGCACAGCCCTGCCTGCAGCATACCTCCAGTGGGACCCACCTGTGAGAGTTTTCCATCACATCTGCACCTCCAGCTGGCTCCCTGGAAATCTCCAAACATCATCCCACTCGAACCTCTGATTTTAAGGCATCTCCGAGGCTATTGCTTGGGATTTAGTACCTGTGAGGGAAGATTGCCTTGGCTCAAACGCTGCTGGTGGATGATGGCCTCAGGCTGGAAAAGAGGGAGGAGATTTGGGGTGGCTGGGACATACCTGGCAGCTGTGCGGGAGCTGGGGGAGGTCAGAAACAGGGATTGCTGTCAGAGCCCCTCTGCAAACGGCCGTGCCTCCATTCCCAGGTGATGCCAGCCGTTCCCTGGGATCCCTCTGGGCTGTCGGTGGCGTCTGTCCGGGCTGAAGCATCCCTGCGTGCCTGTGGGGAGCAGCCCCGGGCCGAGGAGCCACGGGCAGCCCTTCAGCCGTGTCCGTGCCAGCGCTGTCCGGTGCCCCGGTGCCCGTGCCGGGCCGTGCGTTGGGCGCGCTGCGAGCCACGGGCAGGGCACGGCAGCTCCTGCCCTGCCGAGCCAAGGACCGGAGGTGCTCTCTGCCCTTCGGGGGCTCCGGGCTCCTCCAGCCCCGCACCGGGCGCAGCCGGAGCGGGAGCGGCGGCCCCGGCGGAGCGGCTCCTCCCGCCCGCGGCGATACCGGTCCCGATCCCAGCCCCGATCCCGCCTCGATCCTCCGGCCCCGGCACCCCACCCTGCCCGCCGAGGAAGGAGCGGCTCTGCCCGGCTCCCACAGCAGACACCGGCGGGACCGGGACCCAAATCCCCGGGTCCGGATCCCAGTCCCGGTCCCACCTGATCCCGTCGGACTCCGCGCAGTGCCGGGAGCAGCCCCGAACCGATCTCCGAGCGCCGGTCCCGCCGCAGCCCGGGCCGAGCATCCCCCGCAGAACGTGAGGCGGGTGCGGATCCGCCGCCATTTACGGGCGGGGGGCGGGGCCGGGGGCGGGGCCAGCACAGGTGCGCGCACAGGTGCGCGGGGCCCCAGCGCGCCTGTGCGGGGCGGGGCCGGGGGGATTTAAGCCGCGGGGGGGGCCGGGCAGAGCCATTTGCTCCTTGGCGCTCGGAGCGGGAGGTTGCGGCCGGCCGGGCCCCTTTATCTCATTTTCTATTACTTTTCTTCTGCGTTTCTTTTCTTTTGTATTTCTTTTTCTCAACACCCCTTCTATCTACCCTCCTTTCCTCCCCTCCCCCACCCCCTACACCCTCCCCCCCCCAAACCCCCCCCCTCCCTCTCCCCCCTAGCCCTTCCCTCCCTCCCCCCCGGGCGGTCCCCCCTCCACCCCTTTCCCTATCCTTCTTCTCTATTCCTCTATTCACCCCTACCCTGTTCCTCCATCCTGTCCCTTTTCCTTCCCTTCCCAGCCGGGCTCCCCCGTGCCCCCTCTCCCTGCTCCCCTTTCCCCCCCCCCCCCCCCCCGGTTCCTTCTGCCGCCTTTCCATGACACCTTCCCCCCTCCACACGTTCTGCCTCCTTCCCCAAACCCGCCTGCAATCCTTCCTTTCCTTTCTCCACCCTGCCTTCCCCCCAGCCCCCTCCCCGACTGCCCTGCACACCCCGACCTCTCTCCCCCTGCCCCCTGTCCTTGTCCCCTTCCCCTCGACTGCCGCTCTGCTCCCCTGTTCTCGTTCCCCATTCCCCGCTCTCCTCCTTTCCTCGCAGCCGCGGGGCTCGGGGTGCCGGAGAATAAAGCCCAGAGGGCCGGAGCCCGGCGCCCCCCGCCCTCGCTGGGGTCCCCACACGGGGCAGGAGCCGCTCTGCGGGTCCCCCCATTGCAGTGCAATACACGGGCCGACACTGCCGGGGCTCCGGCTTTCCCGACATCACACTGGGGGGTCGGGCTGGGGGGCAGGGAGGGTCCTGGGGGGTTGGGGGGTGGGGGTTAGGAAGGGCCCCCTCCGGAGGAGGGGGGGTCGGGGGGCCCCCTCCGGAGGGGGGGTCCGGAGGAGGGGGGCGGGGCCGGGGTGCCTTCCCCCCTCCAGCCCCGCCCCCTCCCCGGGATCACCTCCGCCGGACGGGGTCGGCCCCGGCCCCCTCCCGGGGACCCCCTCCTCCGGACCGGGGCCCGGGGGGGGAGGGAGGGGGCGGGGGGGGGGAGGAGGCGGGGTCACGTCACTCTGTGGCGTGAACAGACGTAAAAAAAAAAAAAAAAAAAAAAAAAAGAAAAATGCGAGCAGCCCTCCAGTGCCGGCCCCCCTCCCCACCCGCCCCCCTCCCCCCCCCCCGGGCCCCGGTCCGGAGGAGGGGGTCCCGGGGAGGGGGCGGGGCTGGAGGGGGGAAGGCCCCTCTCCGCCCCGCCCCCCTCCCCCGGACCCCCCCCTCCGGAGGGGGCCCCCCCGACCCCCCCCCCGGGACCCCCTCCTCCGGAGGGGGCCCTTCCTAACCCCCCCCCAGGACCCTCCCTGCCCCCCAGCCCGACCCCCCAGTGTGATGTCGGGAAAGCCGGAGCCCCGGCAGTGTCGGCCCGTGTGTTGCACTGCAATGGGGGGACCCGCAGAGCGGCTCCTGCCCCGTGTGGGGACCCCAGCGAGGGCGGGGGGCGCCGGGCTCCGGCCCTCTGGGCTTTATTCTCCGGCACCCCGAGCCCCGCGGCTGCGAGGAAAGGAGGAGAGCGGGGAATGGGGAACGAGAACAGGGGAGCAGAGCGGCAGTCGAGGGGAAGGGGACAAGGACAGGGGGCAGGGGGAGAGAGGTCGGGGTGTGCGGGGCAGTCGGGGAGGGGGCTGGGGGGAAGGCAGGGTGGAGAAAGGAAAGGAAGGATTGCAGGCGGGTTTGGGGAAGGAGGCAGAACGTGTGGAGGGGGGAAGGTGTCATGGAAAGGTGGCAGAAGGAACCGGAGTGGGGGGGGGGGGAAGGGGAGCAGGGAGAGGGGGCACGGGGGAGCCCGGCTGGGGAGGGAAGGAAAAGGGACAGGATGGAGGAACAGGGTAGGGGTGAATAGAGGAATAGAGAAGAAGGATAGGGAAAGGGGTGGAGGGGGGACCGCCCGGGGGGGAGGGAGGGGAGGGCTAGGGGGGAGAGGGGGGGGGGGTTTGGGGGGGGAGGGTGTAGGGGGTGGGGGAGGGGAGGAAAGGAGGGTAGATAGAAGGGGTGTTGAGAAAAAGAAATACAAAAGAAAAGAAACGCAGAAGAAAAGTAATAGAAAATGAGATAAAGGGGCCCGGCCGGCCGCAACCTCCCACTCTAAGCACCAAGGAGCAAATGGCTCTGCCCGGCCCTCCCCGCGGCTTAAATCCCCCCGGCCCCGCCCCGCGCAGGCGCGCTGGGGCCCCGCGCACCTGTGCGCGCACCTGTGCTGGCCCCGCCCGTAAATGGCGGCGGATCCGCGCCCGCCTCACGTTCTGCGGGGGATGCTCGGCCCGGGCTGCGGCGGGACCGGCGCTCGGAGATCGGTTCGGGGCTGCTCCCGGCACTGCGCGGTGTCCGACGCGCTCAGGTGGGACCGGGACTGGGATCCGGACCCGGGGATTTGGGTCCCGGTCCCGCCGGTGTCTGCTGTGGGAGCCGGGCAGAGCCGCTCCTTCCTCGGCGGGCAGGGTGGGGGTGCCGGGGCCGGAGGATCGAGGCGGGATCGGGGCTGGGATCGGGACCGGTATCGCCGCGGGCGGGAGGAGCCGCTCCGCCGGGGCCGCCGCTCCCGCTCCGGCTGCGCCCGGTGCGGGACTGGAGGAGCCCGGAGCCCCCGAAGGGCAGAGAGCACCTCCGGTCCTTGGCTCAGCAGGGCAGGAGCTGCCGTGCCCTGCCCGTGGCTCGCAGCGTGCCCAACGCACGGCCCGGCACGGGCACCGGGGCACCGGACAGCGCTGGCACGGACACGGCTGAAGGGCTGCCCGTGGCTCCTCGGCCCGGGGCTGCTCCCCACAGGCACGCAGGGATGCTTCAGCCCGGACAGACGCCACCGACAGCCCAAAGGGACCCTAGGGAACGGCTGGCATCACCTGGGAATGGAGGCACGGCCGTTTGCAGAGGGGCTCTGACAGCAATCCCCGTTTCTGACCTCCCCGAGCTCCCACACAACTGCCAGGTATGTCCCAGCCACCCCAAATCTCCTCCCTCTTTTCTAGCCTGAGGCCATCATCCACCAGCAGCGTTTGAGCCAAGGCAATCTTCCCTCACAGGTACTAAATGCCAAGCAATAAGCCTTAGAAATGCCTTAAAATCAGAGGTTCGAGTGCGATTACATTTGGAGATTTCCAGGGAGCCGGCTGGAGGTGCAGATGTGATGGAAAACTCTGAGAGGAAGGAATTCAGCAGGGAACCTGAGGCTGTGGGCATAATTCATCTGAACTAGCAAAGCTGATACTGAACCCCAAATCCAGGCACCACACAGAGAACAATCTTTGTGCTAAATTCCCTGGGTGGGGAAGTTTCAGCAGCCAAATGTATGGAATGATCAAAATCCCAGCAGCCGGCATCCCCCAGAGGGACAATCCAAGTGCCAAGGTGGGAGCTCGGCTCGTGTCCTTCCCCTGCTGCTGGTGGGACAAATTCCCCTAGGCACAGCTGGCTGGGTGGGAGCTGAGATCAGGACGGATAGGAGCACAGATGGGAGCTGAGGCCACTAGCATGTCACCTGGAGCAGCTGAACACGTTCTGTCCCTGCAGGAGCCAAAGCAGATCCCTCCTGGCTGAGCTAGAAGGCAGCTGCTGGATCTGCTCTGGGGGAAAACTCCCTGCCCCTGCCAGGAGCGCTGACTCTGCTTTTCCTCCAGCTCCTGAGCAGCGTCAGGGCCACTGGGAGGGAGTTCAATCCCAAAAAAATCCCCACAGCCCCCGGAGTGAATGATGCCAGCAGAGAAACGCAGCATTGAAATAAAAAACATAGAGCTCTGTCAAAAAGGCTACAACAACAATGTAATGGGATTCCCAGGAACCTTCTGGTTTGCTCTCAGAATGCTCTTGGTTCTCCTTCATGTATTTTTAGTCCCTCAATGGGCAGCTCGTAGAATTTATTCTGGGACTTAGAGGTTGAGCAGGGTGGGCTCTGGATTGACCTTCGCCTCTGGTGCCACTTTGTGCAAACACAACTTGGCCAGGCTGGGTGAACTCATGACCTCAGCTTTCCCCTCCAAAATGTCCCTCACTTATTTCCCTGCGGGTGAGCTGGGATTTGGCCCCAGACTGTCACTCCTCACCTCCCCGTGCCCGCACAGTGTCTGTTCTGTTCCCCACAGAGCCCTGGGGACACCAGGAGGTCCCTTTGCCTTCTCCCGCCCCTTTCCAGCCCGAGGCTCCTCTGCCCTTGTCCCACACAGCACAGGGGCACAAAAGGGGAAAGGCTCCAGAAAACATTTCTGCAATTAACCAGCAATTATTTCAATTCCCCAGTGAGAAGAACATGAACTCACAGCCACCGAGGCCTGACAGGCTCCTGCAGTGAGAGCTCAGTGTGTGTGTGCAGAGGTGAGTGCAGCATCTGAAAGGAGAAAAACACAGGGGAAAAATGTGATTTATTTTGCTTCAAAGTTATTTCAAGTTCTTAAAGCCCAACCATCTTTTGCTCTTGATTTTGGTCGGGTGAAACAGGAGCAGTGGGCAGAAGTTGTGCCATTGATGCAGACGTGCCTGATGCTTGCTGGGGCAGAAAAAGTAGATCAAGCTCACCTTATGTCAAGCAGTTATTAAAAAAGATTTATAGCTCTTTAAACATAGCACTCTTTAATTACCATAATGTTTCTCACATGATTTTAACTAATTCTCAGTGTATTTTATAAAACTTAAAATAACACCTCCTCCCCATAAAACAGACCCATCAACCATTAGACAAAAAGCCCTAGTGCCAGTCTCATGCTTGCACATCTAACAGGAGACCCTCCCCATAACCAAACAAAAAATCAAAATAACGTACCAAAAGTAGTCCTTAGTAACATTAAAAATACAACTCACCTGTATCCAAAAAAAACTCACCTTTATTTCCTCCAAACACCAAATACTCTTCAAATTCTATATCAACAAAAACCATCAAAACATACTTCAAATATAGAAAAGCCTAACCATATAAATATTTGTCAAAGCCCACAAAAACTATAAAACAATCTAATCAATATCCTGCATTAAAAAAAACCCCACTATACAAATTAGTACCATTTGAAATGTAACATAAATTAAAATATTTTCTTAAGAAACATAGCTCCCAATAAGTAAAACCACCCTGTAAAGATATAAGTAATAATCATAACTCAACAAGCTAAAATTTCTTCAAAACCAAAAGACTTAAAAAACCTTCAATATTTATAAATAATAACATTCAATATGTTAAGTATTAATAAAATCAAACAAAATTAAGTGTCAATACATTTAAATAAATACATTTTCTTTTTATCTATTAAAAATAAGTTTATTATTCCTTATTACCAAAATTCATTCAGTCTAAATTTAAATGTTATTTAATGTAACTTATGCTAAATTTTATTAAAAATCATTTCTCTAAACTATACAGTATATGGTTAATTTTCTTAAAAAAATAAAACACCTCCAATTAAAACAACTAAAAGAAAACACTGACAAACACCTATTCAGAAGTAAAAAAAAATACAGTGTATTATATCATCAAATTCATCAAAAATTCTGTACTTCATTACAATTTCTACCAACTTCTAACCCTGAACCTAAATTTGTCAGCTTTTTTTAGAAAGAGACTGGAGATTCAATCCTACAACAGATTTAAAACATTGCACAAGGAATAACCGGCCCAGACAAAACCAAACCACCCCATCTCTGCTCCACCCCATTTCTCCCAGTTTTGGGAGAAATACTGATATAGTTTGTAAATACTCCCCTTCCCTGCTGCACTGTCCTTCACTGCACGTCTCTGGAGAGGATTTATTCCATTTTCTGTGCCCAGCAGCACCTCTGCAGCCCAAATCCCACTCCTCGCAGACACAGCCTGAGCAGAGCTCAGGCAGTGTTCCCAGCAGCGGATGCAATTCCGAGTTCCCTGGATTGCTCACGGGGCACTCGCAGCAATCTCCCCTCAGCCCAGACTCTCTGTGCTCAGAGGGAAGCGCAGCCCGATGGGACACAGCTCTGGCACCACATTCCCCTTGTTCCTGCTGGCCTGGAAAGCCACAGATAAACCCAGTCCCTCCGACCTTGCACCCTGAACCCCAGGAGAGCCGGAGCTGAACCCAGATCCCGGCGCCCTGCACGGCTGCGCTGACACCAGCACAGGCTGAGCACTGCCCAGCACCGTTCCTCATTTTCCTCCCTCTGCTCCCAAATCCTGCCAGCCCTCCCCTGCAGTTCCTGCCCCAGCCCCAGCAGAGGCTGGCACCCAGCCCTGCAGCAGCTGGCAGAGCTGGGAATGCACCGAGAGCTCGGCTCCCCGGGCTCCCAGCCCCAGACCAGTCCTTGGGTGCCCGAACAATGCCCAGCCTGCCCCCCTGGGCACAGCCAAACACCACAGCTCCGTCAGCCCCAAGGAACTCTGGCATTTGCCTCTTCCCTGCTGCCCTTTCCCAGCACACAGGGGTAGGGCTGGGCTGTCAGAAATGGCATTCCCGAGGCACTTAATCCCAGCAGAGAGGAAAAGGGGAACCCTGCGTCCCTCCGACTTACCCCACAGCGTGGGCAGGACCAGGAGCCCTCCAGCGCACACCCCTGGTGCTGAAGCCTCTTGGCTCTGGCTGCTTAATCACTGATGCTTCTGGCAAAGATGGGAGGAGCTCAATGATTTCTCCTGTCCTGAAAGAGAGGAGGAAAAGAACATTAAGCCCACTGTGGAAGTCAAAAGATCCCGGCTTTCACACTTCTGCTGTGATTGCTCACTATGGGGTTTTATCCATGAGAGGGGACACCAATTCAAATATAAAAGCATTTTTATTCCTAACTATTTCATTAAAAGGAAGCTCATTTTTCTATTGCATTCTTAGCCTAATTTTAACAGAACCATTTTTATCCCAGGCCCCACTTGTCCGTCATTCAATCCTTTACCACGGGACTTTATACAAAGGAAGGGATACCTGGTGCTGTGTCACAAGAAATCCCAAAGAGAAACGTGTCCAAAACCTCACAGAGAAAGGTTTCAAGGCACTCCAGTGCACAGACAGCTGCTCATGCCTTGTCAGGCCACACCAGTTCTGTCACATCCACCTGAGCTGTGCAGGCGAGGCAAAGGCTGCCCTTCCTCCCAGGGAACACTGTCTGAGACCACAGAGAGCCATCCTGGGTGAAAGGAATGAAATGAAAATGTTTTCTGGCAGAAAATGAGTGTCTGTAATCAGAACATCTGGACAGATTTAGTAACACCACTTTCAGATGATAAATACAGGCCATGCCCATCCTTCCAGGCCAGGTGAAACCAGGAAGGAGAACTACAGGAAAAGCAGGAAGACAGAGCCCCGTATTTGGATATATATAGAATGCCCCTGGTTTGGTGGTTTGCCTTTGCTCCTAAGCTTTGGCTTCAGCCCCTCTCCAGAGGAGCAGGGAATTCCTCCAGGGTGAGGGGGAGTCTGGTCCTACTCCAGGATGGGTCCAATAAAGGAGGGAAGTTGTTTAGAGTAAGTGACCAGTGTTTTTGTTACACACAAAAATCAAACCAAACAAACACTGAATTGGACTACACTGAGCTGCAACACAAAGTGTTCACAGCAGGCAGAGGCCAGAGGAGCACACAGCACCGAGAAGTACCATTTCATTTGGTTCTTCTGCTCACATGCATTTTAATTCTGCTTCGCTTCACAGCTGCTACTCTGCCAAGGCCATTTCCATTTTCAGAAGCCTGTGCCACGTGTAGCCGAGGCTTAAACACCACAGGGTCTATGTGCACTTCAGTGATCTTACACTAAGTGCCTCAGAAACCAAAAGAATAAATCCAAGACTTCAGCTGGGTTAAAAATACCAGAACAACAAATAAGCAAACAAAAACCCAAACCCACCTTTCCAGTAGTTTTAAAAACGGAAGTCTTTAAAACCAGCATAAAAGGAATGTAACATTTGGATCCAAGCAGAGGTACAATTTAAATGCCAGTATTCTGGAACTGCTAATAACTCTGCAAGTATTTACATGGGTGGATGTGTTACTGGATGGAAAGAATATAATGCAAGAAAGAGAAGATTAGCTGTGTTTAGGATGGGAAGAAGATGATTAAAAAATACCTCTTGTCTGGACACTCATGCCATCTTCTTCTCTTGACCTCAGGATGGCTGCCAAAAATAGAGAGTGCTGTGTGACCACCATGTGTAGTTTGGAGAGCTTGACTACGCTCTAAGTGAGGATTCTTTCATGTATAGTAACTGGATGGCAACGTTCAGGACCTTCAGAAATGTTTCATCTCTGTAACGGTACCTTTGGGAGAAGGATCACAGAGAAGTCAGACTGTAACCAAACCCAAGAAAACCCACTTGAAGCTACAAGTTGGGTAAGAAATGAGAACTTGGCAAAGAAAATGAACTTGGTGAAACCAAACCAAATTCAAATGAAAGCACTTACTTGAGCCCTGTCTTCACAAGGTCACACCAGTCATCTGGGTCCACTTCTTCAACCACGCACTGTGTGCAGCAAGTAAAAACAGGTGTTGGTTTACATTTGGCACATGGAACTTCTACAGCAATTTTTGTTCAAGGGACACACTAAGAACACTGATTCAGATGGCATGGCAGATGGGTCTTGGCACAAGTATCTCTATCACCTTCTTTTAAAAAAGAAGGTGATAACTTTTATTTTAAAAAATAAATTAATTAATTTATAATAATTTAATTAATTAATTTCAACTTATTTTTTTTTTAATTCCACTGGTAACCTTTGATTTCTTACTCCTAAATACCACAAACTCCTATTTTCAAAGGGGATTCGTACCAGAAAGCCATCATCAAGAACATAAAACTGCCTCGTATAAAGGATTCTCAGGACTCGGAAAAAGCCATGAAAAATCCATGGAAACCAGAATCCATAAAACAGGAAATCGAGTCCAATCTGTATTTACAAAATCTACAACTGCCCAATCACACATATGCATACAGTCCCTCTGTGGCAAAGCAGATAAGCAGTCTCACCAATAATTCCTCTAGCCTCAGCAGCATGGACCTCTCCACTTTTTGCTTGCCTTCATCTTTACTGCTGCTGTACATGGCAACTAACCCCTTTATGCAGGCTGAGAAGAGATGTCTCCTCCAGGAATGCAGCTCCTCTGAGTTTTTAAGCACCGTGGATATGGCATCTGCCACGGCCCAGCTGCAGAGAGATAGTTGTTGATTTTCTTATTAACATTTTAACTTGGTTTTGTATATCTTAAAGATGTCTTGCTGCCAAAGTGCAAAGCAACAGATTCTCGGAGGACAGGATGCTGTTACTGCTCCCATTCCTATCACACTGATTCCCAGGACAAACTGAGCCCTGGGGGAGGCACACAGGCACACACACACACACACACACACACACACACACACACACACACACACACACGCTGCCCACCTCTCTTCATTGCCTGCTCTCTCCGGAGCAGCAGGAAGGCAGTCCATCAGGTTGTGCAGCCCTTTGCTTCCCGGAGGTGGCAACAGCTTGGAAAGAATTTGCAGTTTCACAGTGGCCTCAGGGTCCTGAATCCCGGCACCGAGCTCCTTCCACAGGGCTTTCCTCAGGACAGGTGTGACAGCCGAGACAGCTGTGGGGAGAGCAGAAGGCACAGGTTCCTCCACCTGCAGCTGTTAAACAACACGCTAAACCTAATTTTTTTCTAATCCAGCCCCAGACCACTCAATGTCTAGGAAATGATGCTACAGCAGCTGCTAATCTGTTACAGAGAAGTGCTACACAGAGGCTCACTTCTTTACCCATCCTCTACTTCCCAGGGTGCTGACAAGGCCTTATCACTGCTTGACCTTGTAGGCAGAGCTACAGCCCCATTCAGCCTGTTCCTGTCAGAACAACTGACATTTGTTTACAAAACAACAAAATAATTATCCCTACCTCAATAAGCCCATAATGCCTCAACCCATTCCAAGGAGGGCGGCAGGAGGGGCGGGCGCAGCCCTGTTCCGACGCCGCTGAGCCGCCTTCACCGCTCCCCTCTACTCACACACACCGCCCCGCTCGCCGCTCGCTGCCGCTCTGGCCCCACCCGCCCCTTCCCGGTAGTTTTTAAACGGGCCGCTCTGGCCGCTTCGGCCACATCTCGGTGGGTTTGGGGCCGCTCTGGCCCCTCCCGCCCCGTCTCGGTGGTTTTGGGGCCGCTCTGGCCCCTCCCGCCCCGTCTCGGTGGGTTTGGGGCCGCTCTGGCCCCTCCCGCCCCGTCTCGGTGGGTTTGGGGCCGCTCTGGCCCCTCCCGCCCCGTCTCGGTGGGTTTGGGGCCGCTCTGGCCCCTCCCGCCCCGTCTCGGTGGGTTTGGGGCCGCTCTGGCCCCTCCCGCCCCGTCTCGGTGGTTTTGGGGCCGCTCTGGCCCCTCCCGCCCCGTCTCGGTGGTTTTGGGGCCGCTCTGGCCCCTCCCGCCCCGTCTCGGTGGTTTTCGGCCGGGCGCTGGCTGTGGGGCTGCAGTACCGCTCTGTGTCCACAAGGCGGCAGCACCGCCGCCCGCCACAGCCGGGGGCCGCCGCTCGCCCGGAGGGGAGGCGGGGGAAAAGAGCGGCGGCGATCGATCCCCTTGGGAAAAAATCCTCCGAAATAAATGTCCCAAAAAATCCCGCACAGAAACTAAAAGATCCTGCCTCGAACCAAATAACGCCGCCCCGCCCCAAAAGCCCTTTCTTTTTAACCTATATATATTTCTACGTTGGTTTTGTTTATTTCCAGCTGTATGGCAGGGAGGCGGTGGGAACGCACGGGAGGGGACGGGACGGGCGCTCAGCGTGGCAGAGGCAGGGGCCGCGCCCAGGATGGCGGCCGCTGCAGGAGCCGGGCAGAGAGAGGCGAATCTGCCGATGTCGGTCGGCGCCTGCTCGAAATCCGCCCGCCCGCAGAGCCGCTGAGCCCACAGCCCGTGTGCACGGCACGGGAACCGCCGCGGGAAATCCCGTCGGGGGGCGCCGGCGATGGGGGCAATTCAGGCAGCGTAGAAAACAGACACGGGTCTTTGACGTTCCCGTCCTCTTTTTCGCGCCCTCTTGAGAAGGTCAAACGAGTCCGCGACACGCCACACTCAAGATGGCGGCCGTGGGCGGTTGGTTGCAGTACCCCACTGTGTCCACAAGGCGGCAGCACTGCCGCCCGCCCCTCCGGAACGTCCTCTGCAGCAAATGCCCCAAAACATCCCGCGCGGAAAAAAACGCCGACAAAAAACCCCTGCCTCTAACCCCATAAGAACCAAAAGAAAAAACTTTTTGTTTCAAACTGCATCTCAATATATTTTATTTTTATATTTTTCATATTTATATTTACATTCGGATTTATAATGTATATTGATGTATAATTGCAATTTTTATAATTTGTTACATTTATTCCTAGTATATTTTATTACCATTTACATTTTTATACATTGCCTAATACATTGCTTACATATTTCTATAGTTAGATTTCTATTTCTAAAAGGTTTATATTGCTTAAAATAAACCCCTGACTCTATCCAAGTAAAAATCTTTTAAAAAAACCCTTTTCTTTTAAACTGCGTTTAAATTTATCTCTATTTTTCGCATTTATATTCAAATTTACATTTAAAATGTAGATTGATGTATGGTGTTATTTAAAAATATAAAATAGAAATGAAAATAAATATTCAGAAGAGCTAGAATATAAATATCTCTGTATACATTGAATATATATTTCTATATTTAGAATGATATCAAAATAAAAGGTATATTCATTTTTCTTCCATTAAAACCCTGCCTCTAACCAAATAAAACCCAAAAAAAAAGCCCTTTCTTTAAACGATACTTGAATATTTATATATTTTTTTCATCATTATAGTCACATTTGCATTTCATCTTTATAGTGATGTATTTATAAATATATATCATATATATATATATTAAGATAGCAAGATAGACAAATTATTATTTATATTATATTTCATAAATACTGCTAATATTTATTTTTACTTACCTTTGAATTTTTTATATAGATCCCCAGCAACAATATTTAGAGTATCTGCAAATAAAAGACTGGGAAACAGTTATTTTACTCCATCAGAACTTGGGAAAGGCCAGATTTAGATTTCTCCAAAGGGTCAAAGCTACATAACACCAGTTAATACCATTTACTGTAGAAGCTGAACTGATTTTGGTCTACACTAAGTTTCCAGTTTCTGACAAACTTCTGCATGAATATTAAAAGTCTGAAGAATGACCACAAGCAGATCACCTAAACCTACAAGCTCACTGTTTCCCATTTTTAACCATGCCAGGATCTTCTCTTTTGATCACATGCGTGGACATTTCCCTCTAAAACCTTCTGACCTAACCAAGAAGTCTCACCATTACCACTGTGCTTGTTTATCTCTCCAAAGAAATCAGTGTCCCAAAGCAAAACCTTCCATAACAGAAATTATGGTGACTTTTATGAAGGACATTTTTTGTATTTATCAGGCATTCACTGATTCAATTCCTTGTTATACAATTAATTCTCCTCCTACAGAAGTTAAATTTACCAGGCTGCAGTACCTTAGAAAAACCTATGGAAACCGTTTTAAAGAAAGCCACCACCTTTGTTACTCTGCAGGCTTCAGGCAACAATGGAGGCAACAATTCATTAAGTGAATGAAGTGCTGTAGGTAATTCCACAATTCCCCTTGAAAGTCATGAGTGAATATCACTCAGTTCTGATGATCTGTCAGCAGTCAATCTGTCTGCAACACAGTTTCTGCCACAGCATAGAAGAGATGCTACTCTGTCTTTGATTTAGTTTCTTCTAATTTAATGACTCTCCAAATTGTATTCTCTACTGGGATTGCTAATTCACTTCTAGGAAATCATTTTAACAGACCAATTACAACAGCAAATACAAATGCTGTACTCAGAATTAATACATTTATACTCCTCCCTGCTCCTCCTTCTTCCTGACATTTCCTTTATACCTGAATTGCCATGAATGAAGTTTAATACTCTGTGGGCCCTTATGGCAGATGAAGCTCAAATGGTCAGCCTTGCACAGCTTATGCCTTCATAATTCACCCTCTAAAAACCTTATTTCACATTTACCCTAAGCCTCATTGGTTTAAAAAATCCTCTCTATCTTATCTGCAGTAAGTCAGACTGAAGAGGGTGTCACAAAATTTAACACCAGGCAAGGGACTGAAAAAATGTAGAAAAGATTCCTGGGGCTCACAGACACAGCCCTGGAGTGGCCTCACCTTTTGCTGGAACTCCCTAAATCCCAAATTTCAGAAGGAAGCCATGAAATGAGTATTTACAAGAGTGGAAGTCAGGGCTGTGCTTGCAGCCTGACCAGAATTGCCTTTGTCTCCATCACCTATTTACAGTTCTGATGAGTGACCACCCCCAGCAGCCTGAGATGACCACTCCTCCCTTCAGATCTTTGCTACCTGCTAGATAAAAAAGACATTTTCATAGGGAAAAAAAAATTAATAGAAGCATTTTGACTTTTCTTTAATAAATACTAAAGGGGGAGAGGTGGTGGTGATAGGGAGATAAAGGGGTTTGCATCATTGTAACCCAAATCTGATTAATTTTTTGGGGTGAAGAGATGATTTATGTGATATTGCCTGGACATTACACATCTACCTGTAGTTGTGAGCAAGCTCAATTCTACACACATTGCTGCAGGTTTGGAGCACTGCTGGTGCAGGCTGGCAGTGGTGGGGTCTGTACTGATGGGATCCAAAACACAGCTCCTCGGTGGCATTTGTGCCACACTCACTTTAGTGCAGTGGGGTTTGTGTGGTAGGCACATTCATTGCTGTCTCAGGATTTTTTCATAGAAGAACACAGAAGAAAGAAAAAGAAAACTATTTCTATTTCTGCTCCTTGTTTTTCCCATGTGGAATGTGTTTGGAGAATTGTTTACCTGGGGTGAGTGCTTGGTTGGATTCTGGTGAGGATTGTTTGAGTCTGATGGCCAATCCAACCCACCTGGGGCTGGACTCTCAGAGGGTCACGAGTTGTAAGTTAGTGAGATTTGGTAGTTAGAAAAAGTAGGTTTGTAGTTTTAGTATCTCCTTTAAATATTATATGAATGCATTATAGTATAGTTATAATAAAGAAATCATTCAGTCTTCTGAACTGGAGTCAGACATCACCATTTCTTCCCACTGGGTTCACCTGCATTTACAATAGGTTTGGGACAGCAACTTCCCTCCAGAGGGGAGTGAAGAATCATCTGGGCTGGGTGAAGAAGGGAAAGAGATGAAGTAAAGTAAGCAAATGTGGTTTGAAATGTGGCAGCTGAGAGAACAAAAGACTTTGTAAAACAAACAAAGTATGTGGATTAACTCAAATGTGCAAATGTGTCCAGGGCTCAAGGACTAGAGGCAGTGAGGGCTCTGGGTGAGGGACAGGGAGCAGACAAGCACATGAACTCACCAGTAACAATGCTGCCACAGTGGTGGGGAGAAGAAAAAAGAAAAACAATCTGTGTGGGGACCACTGCCCTTCAGCAAGACACAGACTCCTGCATCCACTGGGAAAACAAGGCTTTTTCCTTGACTTGTCTCCTTGCCTTCTGCCAGCGTGACTGTGAGGCAGACACATGGATAAATGCCACATGCATGGACTTACCTTTGTGGCTCCCAAGTCCAGAAGCAAGAAAAAGCTGAGTGAGGAGTAATTTGGAGATTGCCATTGAGCATTCCCACATGCAGCACCCATGATGGAGCAGGACAGGTCTCGTGGAAGGTGGTAACACTCTGGGGAGTGCCCAAATTGGCAGTCTTTAGTCTTGGTGTCCAACCAGACACAGAATGTGGGAGATGCAAAAGCACCTTCACCAACACCTTTCCTTGAGCAAGGGCTGGAATGGAGTCAGAGACATCCCTCACCAGCACTGATGTCCAGCCAGGAGATCACTCCAACCTGATGGCAGGCAGAGCTGTCACAGCAGGACCAGCAGGGCAACATGACAAATTACCTTCACATCTTTCCCTGTGGCAGAAGTTCAGTGCAGCGTTGCAGCACCCACCTCTGAGGAAGGTGAAATTCCGCAAGGGGACATGGACTGTCCTAAAAAATCTGCAGATCCGTATTAACTCCACAGCAAACATTTCACATGAGCACAGTAAAGTCCAAGAGGGCAACCAGCCTTTTTGACATAAAAAAAACCCCCACACAACACTTTAAAAAATACTGATTTTATTCATGTCTAGCCTATTCAACAGCGGATCACAACCACAAATATCAAGTTACAAGGTTTCACCAGGTTCTTGCCTGTGCAATGCTGGATTTGAGTCAAGCACATATTACAGCACCACCACTAATGACAATGATTGCTGTTCAAAGCTCACTTGAGTCCCATCTCCCTGGTACACTTCCAAGCCCAATATCCTTTTTTCCCACTGTGTGTGGGATTGTCTGCAGAGAATTTGTGTTCTGGAAGCCTGAATGCAGCAAACACCCTGAAGCACATACCCCAGCTAAAAATTCCCTACACCTCATTTGTTCTTTATTTGAAAGGCTTCAAGTTTTCAGAGAAACAAACAGAAAGGCTCCCACCATCAACAATTTCTCAGAACTATTGGACCTGAGCTGTATAAATCAGGTCCAGTAAGGGAGCTGGAATTACTCATCTCTGACCTGCTCTGCAAATTCCAGCTGTTTTCCTTGGAATGATGCATCAGAGCAAGGTTTCACACCAAAAGCAAAGCACCTCTGTATCATGCCTGCTGATGGTGTCAGCACACAGTATGGCCCAAGGTGTCTGCCCCATGGATTTCCCCAGGGTATTCACACTTTTCCAAAGGTAGCCATCACCTACACTGACTCTGAAAATAATTGCCCTTGCAAGAAGGGTCCATGGCAGCTCGGGTCAGCCACAGGGGCTTGACACACAGATCAGGATAAAGGGACTTGGAGGATTCCCACAGCTGGCCTGCACTGACAGATAGAGCAAGTCCCTTGGGATTGTGAATTTTGCCTCCCAAGGACTGCAGGCTCACATCCACACCCAGGACTATTCAGAAGAGCTGCACCAAAAGCAGACATCTGGCAGCTCAGGGTTTCTCTAAGCCCAGTCCTACAAGCCTGTGGGAGCCACAGGTAGCCAGGAAGTTCCTGAGAAATCCAGACCCTCAGCCAGCAGCACAAAGTCCCAGAGCTGCCAAATCAGAGAGAACTGCCTTCCACCTCTTTTCCCTCACACACTGATGCTGAAAACTGCCAGACAGGCTAAAAGTCACTCAGGGAGATATAGAGGGTATTACTGATAAAGAGTTCTAGGGAAGCTGGATGCCCAGCATCCATCAAACTACCTTCTGGAAATCCCAGCTGTCACATTTCACTCCACTTTTCCCTTTAACTCAGGCTTTCCCCTTCCAGAATCAATTCTTCCTCCCCACTCTCTCCCACTCCCTGTGCAGATAGCTGGCAACACACACAAGCTGGATCCACATGTGGTCACTGAAATTTGGCTGCACAGCTGACCTTTGCTGCTGCCAAAGGGAGGGAATTCCAGGCCAGAGCACTCCTCTCTGCCCTTCACTTTTCAGAGCTAATTGGCTTTTCTATCCCTTTCAGCACAGCACAGCATGGCCTCGTGGAGCTTGAAAAGCAGCAGTGGTTTTTATCACCATGGTGCAACGGGAGAAGACTTCAGAGCATTTTCTGGGAACGCCACGTACAGTTATATTACAATTGCAGAATTTTCTGGCTTTTGTGTCTCCTAAGTCACACAATGGACTACAAACAGTGCTATTTCAGTGAAACTCTCTACAACCACTGAAAGTAAGTCACTAACTCTGTTAGAGCAGGCAATGGACTCACATGTTCACAAAAACTGACTACAGATGCTAAAGCCAGACACTTTGTAGGTAAATGAGAAACACCTCTGGTTTGGGCCCATCCCTCAGGCAGCAGGTTTTTTGCATGAAAAGGATGATTACTACTTGCAGGGCTATATGAAACATTTACCTTTTTATCCAAGTTATGAAAGCATAGCTTTGAAAAGCACAGTAATCCCAAGGCCAAAAAACAGGCAGACAAATGGACAGATTTAAGCCACTCATTTGGTTTTCTTGGAGACAGCGTTTTGCTCTTCCAAGGGCTGACCTTATGCATTTGCCAGGACTGGATGCTCCACTTGAAAAAAAAAAAAAAAAGCTTAAAGGAAATTTCAACAGCAGACTCTTCTGGAGGTGTCCTCTGTCAATCTCCAGCTTCTCACAGGACTTGGTGCTTGTCTGGGGCTTTTGAGGAACAGCTCATAAATTGCTGCTATTCAGCCGCTGGCAGTTGAATCCTGCTTTATTTAGTTTTTGGAATCTTGTAGTGGATTCTCCCTGCTTCCTTCCTCCAGTCCCTGCTCACATTTAGTTTCAGTTTCCTGGAGCTAAGAGTGTTGACCCCTTTAAAAGCAGCAGCAGCAAGAAGACCACAGAGCAAGGAAAACAGTGTCCTGACCATAAAGGTTGTACCCTCTGCATAGAGAGAAACTCCACCAACTTTTCAGGAAGAAGATGCAACAAACTCTTTTGCAGCATCCTGACATGACAGCCTTGCAGCATACAGAATCCAGCCTAGCAAGGAAAAAATAAAAAAAAAGTGTTGTGTTAAAAAAAAAAATGCACAAGAAAAAGGTGCTATTTTACATGGATCACAGTAAAGCCACAACAATCTAAGGGTTCATTTCTTCATGAGAATATTTGAAGTCTAAATTTGAAATGGTCTAAATTTGAAATCTGTTGTCAACTGCAGCTGGCTAAAATGGAAAGGGCTACATTTCTTTGCTTACCTTGATGCCTACTGGGATCTGCTTTAGGGCCAATTTTTCCTTGAAGCTCCTGGGAATTACACACCTGTCTTCTTGCATGAGATGAAATATATTTATTAGAAGGTTGCAAAATGTGTTAGGATGCATTGCAGTGCTGTGCTCTTCAAGGACAGAGGCACAAAGTCTGATTCTTACCGTAGCTGGGACTTTGGGGATTCCCAAAGCCATTTTCATGGCATCTAATTTTAGGTCCTTTTAAGATAGATTTGTAATGACAATTTGGTTTATAGCCCTCCCTCTGTTCCAGGGGCAGGAAAATCTATCAAAGCAAATAAGGGATTTAAAATTTTTATTTTATTTTATTTTTTTAGATCTGAAACAATTTATGAGACAGCAGAACAAAAAAAAAAAGTTGGGTCTGCAAGAACTTTTCTTCCTTTAGGGACTTCTCCATTGTCACATGTCTGTGCAGTCCATTCCAGCTGCATCTGTGCTGGTGACTCATAAAACCTAAAGGGCTAATAATAAGTTATTAAAAGTATCAGCAGTCCCCCACAACAAAAAAAGGAGAAAGAAAAAAATGACTGGAATAAATGAAGGACTGCACCCTGTGGAAGGGATCCACACTGGAGCAGATCAAGAAGAACTGTAGCCCATGGGAAACACTCACACTGGAGAAGTTCCTGGAGGACTGAGGACTGACTTCCATGGGAAGAACCCCCCACTGGAGCAGAGGAAGAGTGTGAGAAGTCTGTGATGATATTTTGTCTCCCCTGTGGAGCTGAGGATGGAGAGTGCCAGAGTGGCTTTGAGGGGCACCTGGTACCCAGCCAGGGTTAACCCACCACAGCTACATGGATGGGATGTGATCTTAAATTCACCATTTCAGGACTCCTGAGTGCTAAACACAACTCTGAGGTCCAGACTTAATTGTGTGAGAAGGGCTAGCAATGAGCTTAAAGAAGTTCAACTGGTGCCTGACAAAATGCTGAGCAGCTCAAGCCTTGCACTGCAAGGAGTTTGCACAGTTTATGTTTTTACCCAGCATTTTCCACCACAATTCCCTTTCCCACTCAGTGCAGGGGTCTGAAAGCATCTTTTTCCACGATGAAAACCATACACTTTCCAGTCCCGAGCTCCCACAGCTCTTGCTACTGCTTGGCAGTGACTCAAGTAGCCAGAAAAAGAAAAAGAACAGGCTGTAAAAAGTGTGGCAGTGAGAAAGCTCTGGGCCAGAAGGTTGCTTGTCAGATTGCCAAAGCCCAAAGGAGGAGAAAGAAGTGGGAGAAATATCAGAGATGGGAGAAGCCTACAAAGTGAACAAGATTTGTCAAGAGTTCTGCCTAGGTTCTGAAATGATAAAATATCAGCAGCACAAAAAATATATGAATATGCATCCTTACATAAATATACACCAGCACATTTGCATCTGCTCTTCAAAAAGTTTTCTAAGAGAAAGGAAAGCCAGGTCTACCAACAAAATGGACAACTTGCTTGCTATGAGTTCACCACAGCTGTGAGCAATCTCTGCTTTCCAGGCTAAATATGTGCTGATCTTCAAAGCAAAATTCCCTCAGTGAGTTTTGGTTCATGTCATTTTTTTTTTTTTCCTGTGGATTTATATGTTGGAGAAGAGAGTTTTCACTTCAGGGATTACAGAGGATAGAAAAATTGAGATGCTGAGGCCAGCTCATGGTTTTCAAGAGATTCAGAGCAGCAGTAATTGCATCCCAGTGATTGATTGGAGTTTGGTAAAGCAGAGACCCCATCAGACAATCCAAAGGCAGAAAGATATGTCTGCAGCAGCTGCATGAATGGAACCTATGACAAATGCCTGGATTTCCCAGCACTGTGAGCAATCACAGTGGTGGTTTGGTCTGATTCTTGTTCTAGTTTTACATTTATGTGTATGACATGGATCTTCCCCAAAGGTAGTAGAGATGTTCCACTGGGAAAGAGGAGAGGATGAGACTCTAAATAGTCAATATTTGATGTCTAGGATCTCCTTTTATCCATTGTGTATATTAAAAAATCAAAAAGATGCTTAGAAATTGTAAAATATACTCTCTTACAGCTTGTTTCTGACCTGCAGGGAGATGATTCCTGCTCCTTTATGGTTTGTAAATTCATTTAGGAAAACTCTCTGGCAGCAAATGTGACTCCTCTTGAACTGGAAGTGCTGCATGTTTAAGGTTTGTAACGTTACCTCCCTGTTCAAAGCAAGGCTTATGCAAAAGAACCATGGTCCCAGTAAATAAAAAGCTAATGAATTTTATAAACAGGTTTTTGAGTTGAGCATGAAAAATCTTCTTGAATTACCTGTAAATCGAAAAGCCAAAGTCTAAATTTTTCTGGCCAACCTTTCATTGGGTGTTCTAGAAACAAAGCAGCTGCAGGGATCAAACACTGCAGCCTTAAGCAGATCTCTGCAAACAGCTTAGAAAGTATATCTGAGCAGTTTTATTCAGTTACAGCAGAACAAACAATCATTCAACACTACAAATATTGGGAAAAACCCAACCAGTTGTGGCCAGCAAACTTCACATTCTAAATCTGTCCACTAAGCCAGGGTTTAGCCAGCACAGCACAGCAGAGACTGGCAAGAAATCATCCTATATCCAAATTTATGGCAGTGCTGGAAAGCACCATCAAAATAATGGTTACTTTCACTCACACAGAGAAACCAACAGGAAAGGTTTGCACTGGGCCAGAAGAGTGGCAGGTGGACCAAAGAAGATTTTTCTATCTCTATAACTCTATAAATACAAAAGTAATAAAGCACCTAAAAGGAATGGGCATGAAGACAGATGTGAAGCATAAGAAAAACAAAATACCAAAGTACTCCTTGCCTATGACTTACTCATTACTCAGTTATTTAGTTACTTTTAAATGCTATTTAAAGTACAAAACTAAACCAAGAACTTCCCACGTGGTGAATGACATTGGATGCTCAGCTTGAAGTCTAAAGGGGCTGAGTTCCAGAAAGCAGAATGAAGGTCTTGTACACAAACAAAACCTGCTACACTGCTGTCATTTTTTACAAGGTGGGCCTCATTTATGTGTAGAGGATTGCAGGGGGTTAATTTTGGGCACCCACTTCTCTATCCTTTATTGTCCTTAATTTTGAGAGCCTGATAACCGATGCCTCAATTAATAATAAATAGCTTAACACTCCTCAGTGAAGTTTTCTGATACCAGAGATGTGAAAAATTGGACTATGCTCTGGAATGGGGTCTAAACTCACCTGGGCAATTTTTCAACCCCATTTCAGACACCTTCTACATTTATGAATTGAAAACATGGAATAACATTCATGTTTAAAACCAAACTTCTGCCTCCTGCTTCCATGCAAGGTCTTGGAATCCCCCTCAGTGGTGAGAGATGCAATGCCATTCAGGCTGTACATGCAAGCAACAAGATCTACAGACAGAAGTAACTTGTAGTGAGTTAACTGAGAATAATTTCAGGCTTTGGATGTCCCTGGGTATGGCAAAAATGTGGGAAAAGTTACTTCAAGTGGATGTAATTCCACTGAAGCAAATTTTACTCACTTTCATTAGGACAGACCCCTGTGGCAGCCAGGTTATCCCACTGTGCAGAGATAAGAGAGAGGTGATTAAACAGATCCACTGTGTTTATAGTTCCCATATTAAAGCAGAGATGCAGAAAAAAGCAGCAGGATTGTGAAGTGAGCATCTCTGCTCCCAGCGAGAGGATGAACTCCTTTGCAGCTTCTCTGCTGCAAAGGACACATCAAATCAGCTGGCAGAAGTAAGTGCAAAGATCCAGCACAGCTTCATGTGAGATTGCTTGCTTTAGATCGACTGAGCAAATCAAAATGTTCAAGGAAATTCCCAACACTGCACCATCCTTCCTCAAATTAAACCCCCAGTTTAACCCCCCCATATGCAGCTCACACTTCCCTCCCTGGGAGCCATCTGGGATTCCCTTGAGGAATCCTGACTTTGAACACATGCTGTGTTCAATTCTGACATTAAAAGGACATTGTTGGGTTTAATGACATTGTGCAAAGACTACACGGACTTGTTCCAGAAAATGCACCATGTGGCAAGTCCCACATCCATTCCCTAAATGAGACCCGAGCCTAAGTGCTTGTCCTCAGCTGCCACCAAAGCAGCTCCTTCAAAGCTTAACACTAGAGATAAAAACCACAGAGAATGTTGAGTTTCTGTACATAAAAGGAAATGGATTAATAAATGCTGGGGCAGACAGTGCTGCTCATGTGAGCGGAGCCTTCATGGCTGGGCTGCTTTTGGCTGGGGTACAGTTAATTTCCTTCCCAGGGGCTGTGTTTTGGGTTTGTGCTGAACACGGGCTTGATAATACAGGGATAATTTTGGTTGTGCTGGCACAGACCCAAATGGTTTTCCTGCTGCCACGCTGGCAAGGGGGCTGGGGGTGCCTGGCAGGAGACACAGCTGGGACAGGTGACCCCAAGTGACATTCCAAACCTTATGGCATCATCATCATCAGTGTATAACGTGGGGGGAAGCAGATGGAAAGGGATGGATGTTCAGGGTGATGGTGTTTGTCACCTCTAGGTGTGTTGGGACCCTGCTCTCCTGGGGATGGCTGAGCACCAGCCTGCCCATGACAAGCAGGGAATTAATTCTTTGGTTTGCTTTGCTTGTGTGCACTGCTCTTCCTTTCCCTACAAAACTGCCCTTATCCCAACCCAGGGGTTTTCCAGGTTTTACCCTTCCCATTCTCTCCGGTATCCTGCCTGTGGGGAGTGAAGGAGCATCCACCAGGCACCAGTGAAGGTGTCCCTTGTCTCATCCCTCCCTGGCCCACAGGATGGCACTGCGACACTCCACAAACTCCTCCCGGGCTCTCGGGGCTGTTTCCTGAGAGTATTTTTCCCAAAGTCAGATTTTTTTCCCACTGCAATTCAAATTTCCTTAGAATTTCAGGCTTTTCAGAATTCGATAGAATTCCACAGAATCTCCCGTGCCGGTGCACGTCCTTGCCCAGAAAGATCACTTCTCTTTCTGTGGGCATTTTGCTGGAATAAACAACAGTGATCTTTGCCCCAGAAAAGGCTCCATTGGAAGCTACACACCAACCCTGCAGAAAAACTGGGTTTTTTGCTGCTGAGAAATTATCTTCAGTAAACCCTGAGATTAATTGATAACAAGGAAGGGTCTGGAGAGCCAGTTCTGTGAGCAGCCCCTGGTGAGCTGGGGGGGCTCAGCCTGGAGAAAAGGAGGCTCAGGGGGCCCTTCTGGCTCTGCACAGCTCCTGACAGGAGAGGACAGCCGGGGGGATCGGGCTCTGCTCCCAGGAAACAAGGGACAAGGTGAGAAGAAATGGCTTCCAGGTGTGCCAGGGGAGGGTCAGGTTGGACATCAGAAGGAAATTCTCCCTGGAAGGTGTGGTCAGGCTTTGGAAGGAGCTGTCCAGGGAGGGGGTGTGATCTCCATCCCCAGAGGTGCCCAGGGAATGACTGGACGTGGCACTCAGTGACATGGTCTGGGGACACGGTGGGGATCAGACAGCTGGACTTGATGATCTTGGGGGTCTTTCCCAACCTTGATTACTCTCTGATTCTATGACCAGCTATTGTTTCCACTATACTTCAAAGCACTGCACAAAACCAAATTCACTTCGCAATCTTGCTATTTACCACACCACCATTTGCATTTTACTGAAGATCACTGCAAAAAACCTTGCAGCCTGGGGAGCCTACAGCTTTCCAGCACTGACCACCACACCTTCACAAGCAGGGACACACCTGGCACATGAGCTCCTGTTCAGGTGCTACAGCACCCACACAGCTTCCCAGTCCTTTCCCATTTATGGGTCAAAGATGTAGCCAAACCACCAACGTGAAAATTTGGGCTGCGCAGATTTTGAAGTCTTCTTGTCGGTGCTGGAGGAGCCTGTGACACAGGGCTTAGGTTTTTCCCTAGGCTCACAAAGTATCCCTTCAAGAGAAATATTTTGGGAGAACTGCAGAGTCAATGACTCTAAATTAAAATTCAACGAGATACGCTTGCCCTTATTAAAATTTTTGGAAAGGACCACAAAGGTCAATGTTTTCAGCTTAAAGTGGCTGAGAAGATGAAGCAACCAGAGCTCTACTCCTCTTGAATCCAACCTTCCTTATCAGCTGTAACCTCATTGCTAGCCCTTATTAAATCTTCATCTTTCTTCACTTCTGTTTGAAATGCCTTTTTGAAATATCCCAAGGGAACCAGCACACAAAATCCCACCAAAACAACCCTGAACATACCTTTCTCTTCCTTCTTCTTCTCCCACTTCATATATTGAGCCACAAGGTCTGGAATATCCCTCTGTGTCGGAATCTGAGGTATTGATGATTCTGAGATTGTAGAAAATCTGTCTCTCTGCCCCGCTGCCAAAGAAGAAGCCATAATTCGTCTGTACTGTTTTCAAGGTTGTTTATTCTGTTTATCTCTAACATGTTCTGCTGCCCTGCCGCAGCTCTGTCCTGCAGGGCAGCGTGTGGGGCTCTGCCCTCAGTGGGATGTTACAAACATTAAATACCACAAACTACCTGTGCTATATTTACAATAATGTGCCAATATCTGTCACCTACGTTGAACAGTGTGTCCCCAGCCTAAACCAACAGAAAAATGCCAACACTACAGTGAAACATGGAGGGCATGAAGAAGGAGAAAAAGGACAAGGCACACCCAATTTCCTCCATCTTGTCCCCTTTGAACCCCTAATCTATAATCCTAAAATTTTACTTTTGCACCTGTGACACACTTAACACTGAAGACACAGCAGTGAGGTTTCCAGTCATTGACAGAAAGCATGGAAAGGGATGTAGGGGCACAGGGAAATAGTCAGAGAATCACAGAATGTCTTGGATTGAGAGAGATTCTAAAGATCATTTGGTTCCAACCCCCCTTCCATGGGCAGGGACACCTTCCACTAGCCCATCTTGCTCAGAGCTACATCCAGCCTGGCCTTGGACACTGCCAGGGATGGGGCAGCCACAGCTACTCTGGGCAACCTGTGCCAGGGCCTCAGCACCCTCACAGTGAAGATTTTCTTCCTAAAATAAAATTATCAATGGCAGCAACATTAGTGAAGCAAGTAAAGAGGGTCAACAACCCATTTATCCTGTTTCCACCTGTGAAAATAATAATATCCTTTACAGAAGTACAACCATGTGAAATCAGGAACAGATCAGAGAAGCTCCTTGAAGATCTCAGAGTAAGCAGCTGCCCTAGCTGCACATTTAGGTTCAATCCCCGTCCCTGGAAGTATCCAAGGCCAGGCTGGATGGGGTTCTGAACATCCTGGTCTAGTGGAAGGCGTCTCTCCCCTGGCAGGGGCACTGGAATGAGATCATCTTGAAGGTCTCTTCCAGCCCAAGCCATTCTGTAATTCTATGATTCTAATTTCCCAGGGCTGTCTCACACCATTTGCTTGCGATTCCCTGCAGGAAAAAAATGGCCATTTGCATCATATGAAGACAAATGAGTGTACCTAAAAATTTATCACAACTGGATGCTGAAGAGATAAAAATGTTATTTCTCTTCCAGAGTCAGAGGAATTGAAGTACAGGAAAAGTGAAATGTTAGCTCCATCCCAGATCCTGACCCAGAATGTGCCCGTGAGCATCACACAGTCCCCAAACCAGCATGGTGCTGTGGCACATCTGACAGTCAGAACTCAAAAAACATTCAAATGGGAATTTTCCCATTTCAATGTGGTTTGAGTTCTGACTGTCAGATGTTACACTTCAAAACATTGAATTTTCAAGAAAAACAGGCATTGCTTCCCAATGATACAGTAAATAGACCCCCAAAAAAACCCTAAATGATAAAAAGGCTTCTAAAGTACCCTGTACCATGCTGCCTAATTGGCATCAGAAGAAAAATATGCTGATGTATGAATACCAGCTGAGAATTTGGCTCCATTTGCCTGAAACCAAGTGTCTGTATCAGCAGGGATGTTAAAACATTTCAGCCATCAAAAAAAAAAATTCTTCATGCATTATGGTGGACACAAAGACATGGCATGACTCCCTCTCCAAAAACATAAGGTTTTTGTAAGACTCATGCATTGTTTGTAAGACTCCAGCACCTAAATGTGCTGTAGGACAGGAAGGAATTTGCAAGAGGATTCATCTGGGCCTTTTTACATATGCTTGCTTCTGAATCACCAATATATGACTAAATATAAACCATGAAGAGCTGTAATTGCTATTCTACATACCCTCATATCCCTCTGAAATACCATAAGGGAAGAAAAACTACCAAATAGTTTGGGAGGATTAGTTCCTAATAATGCCAGTGAATATCTGCAAAAAAAAAAAAACACAAAAAAAACCCAAACAAACAAAAAAAAATAAAACACCCAAAAAAACCCCCCATCTTGTCAGATTGTGCAAAGTGCAGATTTGACTGCTCAGTACCAGTCCTTCATGCTTGGAGAGTTGACACAAACCTCTGAAAGAGGTGGTGAACTCCTTCCACCTCCAGTATATTTTTCTTCTGCTGTTTTAACACCTTAGTCCCTGGGGGAAACTCAGGGGGTAGAAGAGAAGAACTTGTTTCAATTCCCTTCTTCTAAACTAGCTGTGAAAAGTGATGTCAGCCTCTTTATCTCCATGGAGCGAGCATTCCAGGAGCTTTCAATATTACCTTGCAGTTAAGTCAGCTCTGGCCTTTGTCAGACAGAAATATTCTTGCACACTTTTAATTATCTACAAGGGAAGATAATTTTAAACCTGCAAGGGAAGGGGAGTCATAATCAAGGGGCTGCTCTGAGTGTTTTGTGCCTGAGCCTGGAAAACAGGGATCAGATCAGCCAAGCCCAACAAGGTAACAGCAGGTCTTGTCAGCATTTGGGTATTCCATGAGTCCCATGCACAGGGACAAACATTTTCCTGTGTTTTTTTCATCCTCACTGCCCATCTGTTTGTCACTGCTGTTGTGACAGCAGCACAACACCCTGTCCTGAGGGAGGAGAAGTCTCCAGCTGTGCCTGACATTATCCAGGTGCCAGGGAGAAGATGAGGAATACTCAGAAAGATCTCCCTGTCTAAAAGGTTTAGGGAAAAGAAGGAAACCAATGGCTTTATACTGTCCCATCTTATTGCTGAGGCACTGAGATGTGAGGGACAATCATCTCCCTTCCTAAGCAGTCTTTTAACTATCAAAAAAGCCCACACAACCTCTTTTGATGCAATTACAAGCAGAAATGCCAGGGCCAGAAGTACCAGTGGGTGTTTTTTTTTTCTACACAGTTTCCATGACTGGAGATGGAGGATAGAGAGGAAAGCTGCATCAGCCTCCAGAACCCCTCCCAGCTGCAGCTGGCTCGATCAATATGTATTCAGACATCTTCTATGGGGATGCTGATTAGTGGTTACTGTGCAAGGAACTCCCAGCTCATCTCCTCTGAAATCCCCTTAGCTAAGTGTTACTGGCAACTCACAAATCTGCACAGGTTTGGTTGATTTTTTTTTCTTTTTTAAATCAAGAAAAAAGTAAGGGAACAGTCCTCTGCAGATAGCACTTTTTCCTTCCATTCTCAATTCATCCAGAAAATTTTAGTAAAAACTTAAGCTTTTTGTAGATTTTTAAATTTTTTTTTGTTTTCTTATCACATAATCTTGGTGTAAAAAGATCCAGCTGAGTGGGAACAGGAGGAGTTCACAATTCAGAATGACATGTTCTAACAAGTCAGACAGCACTGGAAAAGCATCTTGGTCTCATCAAAAAAAACTTTCTCACCGGGGCAGGTGTTGCAGCTGCAGAAAAGAACAATTGGCTTGGCTCAGCCATAGCCAAAGCACTGGAACATCCCTTCTGTCACTGGGAATACATGCTGTAATTACCAATGAGTTTTGGGCTGTCATTCCACCTCTTCTGGAGCATTTCAGTATCACCTAGATGAATTCAAGGAAGTATTGGAGCTGACACTGGCCACACTGGTAATGAACAGGAACAACCAACACCTACCACTACACTGCTTAAAAAAAGAGTTTATTAAAAATAAACTCCCTTAAACCAAGGATAATCCCCTTCCTTCCAAAAGGAAAAAAACTCCACAAACCCTAAATCCATGTAATATATTTCATTCCAGATCAAAGTTAGAAAGAAAAACCAAACCAAACAGCAAACAAACAAAAAACCACAAAAAAACCCAACAGAAGCTAAACAAAACCAAAGAAAACAGAAAAATTTTGTATTTTTCCTTGTTTACATGCATTTTCTTAAAAAAAAAAGAAAAAAAAATTTAGAATATTAAAAAAGAGATGGTGCATGTTACAAAATTTTCCAAACATGCCTTTTGTAAAGAGTACCAAAATGAACTAAAATGAAACTGCTTTCCCAAAGATTGCTGATTTTGAGGAAGGGGAATATTGCTGATTTTCAGGAAAATACATCCTAGAGAAATGTTTGCAGTCCACTGTTGAAAACCACAGCATATCATCAAATACCAGACTAATGCAGCAGTGAATACTCTCCAAAATATTTCTGGAAGTCACTTCCAAGGACAGACCACAAAGATCATTTGCTTTGTCATAAGCATGAAAGGCCATAGTCTACAGTTCTCAAAGGAATGTGCCAGACAGAGCTATTTCTGACACGCTAAAATGTGAGAATAATTCAGAGCCTGAGAACTACACCCTGATAAGGGTCCCTTCCAGTTTGGGCTATTCCATAATTCTGGTAGTAAACTGAGATCAGAAATAAATGCACCCTTGTGTTCATGGTTCAAATCAAACTCCTTGGCTTACTCAGTATTTCTTACAACTCCTTTCTAATGTGGCTTGTTGCCATGACTCAAATGATGCCAAGTGCTTGGGACAGGTTCTTAAGACACCTTATGGGCCACCAGATTTGTGTGCACCATCCTGCCTACGCCACTGATAGAGCACAAGTGGTGTCCACATCCACAGGCTTTTGTGATGTGCAAGGATATTCATAACATTTCCATTGCCTGGCTTTTCTTTTATTCCTCATTGAATCACAGAATCATAGAACACCCCGAGTTGGACATGACCTACAAGGATCACCAAGTCCAACTCCTGGTCCTGCCCAGGACACCCCAACAATCCCACCCTGGTCCTGGAGCTCTGGCAGCCTTGGGGCTGTGACCATTCCCTGGGGAGCCTGTTCAGTGCCCAGCACCCTCTGGGGGATGAAACTTTCTCTGATATCCACCCTAACCCTGCCCTGACACAGCTCCAGGTGTTTCCTGGGCCTGTCCCTGGCCACACAGAGCAGAGATCAGAGCTGCCCCTCCTCTTCCCCTTGAGGAATCTGCTGTGAGCTCTGACCTCAGTCTGCTCTCCTCCAGCTGAACACACCAAGTGCCCTCAGCTGCTCCTCGTGTGGCTTCACCTCCAGGCCCTTCACCATCTTTCTACTCACATGAGAAAAGCAAAATAGCAGAGCTGGTTGGCCAAAATAGCGATGGAAATGACACGACAATGGTTTCCTCACTGAAGTGAACAAAGAGCATCAACAAGCTCAAGAAAAGCTCCTTCCTGGCACTTCTGTGACACAGCTGGCTGAATAGATGAAGCTCCCACCTCAGTCAATATTTTTGCTGCCTCCTGAGCTTAAGGGAACCTTCACCTCCACGAGGGAAAACAATTTGAGAGAATTAAGATAGGAAATGTGAACTTTTCTTTGTGTTATGTCATAACAGTGTGTGCAATAGGAAATTCTTCTGCTCCTCTCTTCAGGCCAGAGTGGATCGACTGCTCTGACCTCATACCCAACAGTGCTGCTCCCCAAAATTCCCTGACAGGAGGGTGAGCCCAGGTGAGAATCAGCCTCTTCTCCAGGGGAACAAGGGACAGGACAACAGGAAAGGGCCTGAAGTCACATCAGAGAAGGTTCAGGTTGGATATTAAGAAAAAAAATTTACTGAAAGAGTAGTTAAGCATTAGAACAGACTGCCCAAGGAAATGCTGGAGCCACCAGCCCTGGAACTATTCAAAGAATGAGTGGACAGAGCACTTCATGATATGGTTTTCTGGGCATTGTGGTATTCCACTGAAAGCTTGATGATCTTGGAGGTATTTTCCAACCGTAACGATTCTGTGAGCAGCACTGTTTATTTTTATGACAAACCATGGAATCACAGACTGGTTTGGGTTGGAAAGGAACTTAAAGATCTCCTCATCCCAACCCTCCTGCCAGAGGGGCAGGAACACCTTCCACCAGGGCAGGTTGCTAGATAATCTATAATCTATAATCTATTATCTGATTATCTAGCAGGTTGTTCAAATCAGATAATCTTGCTGAGCTGCAGCAGAGCTGGTTCAAGGCTTTCCCCAGCATTAATTGCAATGCACTGTTCCAATGATTCCAGGGAGCTCATGGGAGTGAGGAATGACCACAGATTCCAGGAAGAAGAAAGGTCAGCAAAGAGCTGGAGAGCTCTGAATAGGGAGAAAGGACTGGACAAGGTGAGCAGCCATTCCAGGTTGACGGGAAGAGCAGTGAACAGAGTTTGGTGGGTTTTTTAAAGGGTGTGAATTTGCTCTCTGCCTCCAGACCAGCTCCTTGAGGGATATGGTATCCCCTGTGCCATTCTACCCCACTCCTAGGACTTCCTTCTCTCTCCTCAGTCCCACAGAGGAAAAAACCTCCCAAGACTCACAGTTCCTCTCCTAGCTCTCCCTCCTACCCACAAACCCCAAGTATTTAATAGTAAAATCACCAGGATTTGGTCTTTTGTAGGTAAACATGCAGTATGGCTAACAGTCTGGAGACACAAGAAATGTGGGAAGATCTTACAGTTTCTCATAATTTTCCTCTCTTTTAGTTATTTTGCCCCCAGTACTTTCTTAACTACAGGTCTTGTCAGCCTTTTGCTGGCCTAGAAAAGTCAGGCTCTTCCAGCTTCCACTAGCAAAGCACTTTCCTTCCACATGATCATTCTTGCTGCTCTCCTGTGCATCTTGCCTGACCAAATTTAGGTCACCAACAATGCACACAGCATTCCAGATGAGGCCTTGCAGAATTATTATTTCCCAGGTGTTACCAAACATGCTTTTCCTGAGATTTTCCAAGACTTGTACCTCGATTTTTATAGCTGCATTATCTGCCAGGCCAGAGCAGGGACACAAAGGGGAGCAGAGGGATGGAGCAGCTCTGCTGGGAGGAAAGGCTGAGGGAATTGGGATTGTTCAGCCTGGAGAGGAGAAGGCTTTGGGGTGACCTCAGTGTGGCCTTGCAGTGCCTGAAGGGAACCCACAGGAAAGATGGAGAGAGACTCTGGACATGGGCCTGGGGTGACAGGACAAGGGGGAAAGGCTTCACACTGACAGAGAGCAGGGTTACATTGGATATTGGGAAGAAATTCTTCTCTGTGAGGGTAGTGAGGCCTTGGAACAGGTTTCCTAGAGCAGCTGCGGCTGCCCCATCCCTGGAGATATTCAAGAACAGACTGGATAGGGCTCTGAGCAATCAAGATGTCCCTGCCAATGGCAGGGGGTTGGAACGAGATGGTCTTTAAAGCCCTTCCTAACCCTGGAAATTCCATGATTCCACAACTATTCCTTCTACTCACCCTCATCTGTGCCATCTCCAGTGGTATTTTCCCTTATAGCAAACTTTTAAAGGTGATTTTACACAAAGCTCTCTGTCCAGTTTCAGGGAAGGCAGGACTGAGATCAGAAGAGTTAGAGCAGGAAAGTCCCATTTTTTCCAACCTAGTATGCCCTGTAGATGGAACTTTGAAACCAGCAGATGTAGAGCCAACCTACCAGGACTGAAATGATTTTCATAAAGCCCTATCAGCAAAAATGTAGGAGGTGCAGCGCTTGTCTCCACATCTACCTCTGCCACCCTTCTGTTGTTCTAGTACTTGAGAATTGCAACTACATTTCTTCAGCTTAAAAACCTCTGTCCCTCTGTCTCCTTGGGAAACACATCCAGGCAAGAGGAAGCTAAGATGGAGAGTGGTCAGGAATCCAGAGGCAGCAGCAGGAATTTGGTGACCATGCATGCCCCAGGCCAGGGGGGCTCCTGTTCCAGCCAGGCACGTGAGTGGGGGTGTCAAGGGCACAAAAATGCCAAGCACAGCACAGCAGACTCGCTCCCACCTTATGGTGTGGCAGTGGCACAACTCCCCCAGAGCTCCGGAGCAGAGAGGCAGACAAAGAGACCGTGGTCCAATTCTGCTTTTGCCGGGGATAAATTTGGAGTCACTTCACTGACGTCAGCGGAGTTATTCCAGAATTGCACCAGTGTAAAAGAGGGCAGCATCTGCTTTCTGAAAATGGATGCCATCAAGCTAATTGAAAACAACAGATGCATCAAGGAGCAGCAAGAAGGGATGGTAATGTTCCAGTTTTCTTGTAAAATACCGTTTAATTTCCCTCCAGAGAATGTAAGAGAATAAACCAATATGTACTCTAAAAGCCAAACATTTTGTTGGTGTAAAATTGTATATAACCTTTTAGGTGAATGGACCAATGTGCACCTACAGCACTCTAAAGAGATCCAGCCTAGTCATGTGCACTTATAGCCTTCTTCTTTCTGATTCTTCTCTCAGATTCATTTAAATCAGGAGTCATACCATCCACAATCTTAAGGAAACATTTATCTAGCCTTGGGGAGAGAGTAGAATCGAGGCCGTTCATTTCACTAAATGGTCAATGGCTAGATTTGGTAATTAAATCAATAAATTTGTGAATTATGCCACTTTTGGACTTAGGGTATCCCAAAATTTTATACCACTGAATAAATATTAATTTAGTGAAAATGAAGCCAAAGAAGTACTTGCTCAATATTCTTTGTGTGAAGACAAAGGTTTCCCCCAATCCTTATCTCCAATGAATACTCAACATGGCTTCAGTATTTATGGTGACCATGGAAATTGATAAGCACATTCCGTACTGCAAATCCTTTCTTTCCTTTCACTAAGAAGAAGTTTTACACAGCAAAGCTCAATTATTTCTTGGGCTTCATCTTATTAAGTGGTACTACAGACAACCTGGATATTTCCAGTGGTGAGGGTTCATCATTGAATGTTCATAAAACCCACACTGATCTCAGCCATGAGTTTCCCAAAATGTAAAGCCGTGTTATGACATTCCAACTCCTTCTGCCAGCCAACAAGACCCAGACAGACTTCCCTGCAGCAAGGGAAAACCCATTCAAAGAGGGAAAAGCATGTGGAATTAACATGTACTAAGAGCATCTGCCGCACTGTTTATTAGCACAGTCCCTGTCTGCTTTCCCCAAAAACATTTTTCTGGATTTATCTCCCTGGGTAGGGTCTTGTAGGACCCCAGCCTGAACAAGAAGAGCTCCTTGAAACTGGCAGGCAGTTTCCTCAGGCACTGTCTTTGGTGGCAGCTAAGGACACGCAGCATCTCCTGGTCCCTTTCATCAGGGGATTAAAGTCTTTTCATCCTGCCAGCACCTGCTCCCCTCCTTATGGCTGAAGCAGGCACCTGCAATTCAGGCACTCTCCTGCAAACCTGCTGATAACATGGCTGCAAATCTCTTCAGGAGGGATCTGCCTCTAGTGCAAGCTTCAAAGAGCCACGATGAAGGGCTCAGGGCTGTACTCGTGGTTACAGCAGCACCAACAGAGATATCTTGTGCTCACAGGGCTGCCATGGAGGGCAGACTCTTCCAATTCCCCGTCAATCTGTCCACACCTTTCCACCACTGAGAAATAAATGCAGAAAATGCTGCTGCTCTTAATTTCTGTCAGTAAAAACTTAAAGTTAAGCTTAGCTCTGCCAAGTTTGGTAGGACTTACTTGGACTCAAGTCAGGTGAGATCTTTTGGGAAAGCTGTGATTGACTCCTGCTGTAATCTGCAGATCTTTCCCTGATGGAAACAGGACCTCAAGAAAAGAACAAACAAAAAGAAGCAGTTTATCAAACAGTACACGTGCTTTGATTTGATGCAGAAGATTGAAGTTGGACCCAATATAATCCAAGGTAGTTGTATTAAAAGGAGTTTTGCCAGCTTGAATCAGCAGATGGTGAGGATCTGGCTCATACTATATTTCTGTAGTTTATAATTATCTTTCTTTCTTCACCTAGAACCAGATTCTCCCTTTAGGCTGCAAATCTTAATTAGGAAATATTTCCTCATTAATTTCAAGAAACTCTTGGTCATTAATTTCCCAGAACAGAAAGAAACCTTACCTATTTCTGCAATAGCAGCAGATGCTGGAGCTGCTTGTTCCTTTGCATTTAGGGTTGATGCTGTTCTTTCCATCACCATGTGGAAGACACTTCAGTCCTTACCCTGTCACTTGCTGCCCTGAATTTTCTTTACACTCACTCTTCTTTATCCCATAGAGACCTCTGAATGAGAGGAGCCAGGAGAGAAGATCAAGTCCAGTCACCTTCAGCTGCTGTAGCAGTGAATTTTTATCCACGAAAGCTGGATCAAAAGGCTCAAACAGGAAATTACTCAAAAACCCCAAATTCCAACATTTTCCAAGAAGGAGCAGAACAGGAATTTCATCTTGGAGGTGAGAGCAGGAGCAGGAGTCCAACAATAAAACACCATAGAACAGGTCTTCACACCTTTCATGCTTCCAGTCCTTTGTGTGGATTAAAAAATGGCATCCTCAGTAAAATTCTTCCTTTCCTTCCTTTCTTCCCCACCTCCAAGGAGCTGATTTCTGCCCTGCCTGCTTTGGTGCAAAACATCCTGTGGGAAAACTATCAGGGGAACCAACCATCACAAACCAGCCAGGGGATCAGGAAGGAGCAATAGTATCTTCCACTGCAAAACTATTTCCTAGTGAGATTGCTGCAAGAGGAATTTCTGGGTCTTTAATGTAATGCTTCAGCTTATATGCCTTGCCACCAAGCACCCCGATGACTTTGCATTCACAGGCCAGCTGCCCCTCAGCTCAGATTGTCCTTCACACACTCTCCAGCTCTCTGTGTGCAAGAATGGACAAATAAAATCTCTTCCCATCTCCAGGTTTGCACTCCCTGCTTTCAAAAGCTGGAGATTGCCCACCTGAAGTTGGACACAATATAAGGCGATGGGATCAGCTCTAGTAGGCAAGGAAAACATCTGTAAAGATAAGGTGCTGATACCTGAACACAAAATATCCAAAGAGTGCTTTCGCTTGTAGCCACAATCACAGCATGGAGAGAAACAGTCCGGGAGGTTGTTATGGAAACAGGTCCCTGGAGGTGCCTACTTGGCTTCACAGGGATGTGCTCTACCTTCAGAAGGAAAGATTTGCATTTTGAGCAGCTGGGGGGAGTGCTGAGGGCTGAGAACTTGAGGTAAGGTTTTTGAAAGCATCTCTGTGATTTGGTGGCACGAGACCTCTGGTAAAATCAATGGGCGACACTGTGTCATTTCAGTCACGTGAAAAAAAAATCTGAAGGCTCCTTAAAAAAGGTCAGATTCCACAAGTTCTGTAACATGCAGCATTACTGATGACTCTGGGACTTCACTGCTTTTCAGGAGGTGCTTAGAGAAGGATTTACATGCCCCAAATGAGTCCCAGGGTTACAGTTTCCATGCTTCTGTTGGTGTTCTGGAGTTCTGTATCTCTCAGAGCAAACACAGAAAACCCAGGGAACAAACACCACTCCTGCTTTACTCATTTTCATCTGCACTTCTCAGAAATTATAAATGTGGCTCACAAAAACTGCACAGAGCTGCCTTGCTCACCACAAAATCCCTTCACACCTCGGGTGCGATCGGCGGGCGGGAGATTCCAATACCCACTAGGAACTCACTGCTGCATTCCACCTGGAAACTCACTGCTGGATCCTACCCAAAGGCAGGACACCTCTTTGAAAGAGGATCTGTGTAAGATTGTGCTACCAGTAATCTTTTTTTCTTGCTGGAGTCTCCATGCCCAGCTGTCTGTGGTGCTGGTCAGGAGAACAACCTGTTCTAGGCAGGGCCAACAGGGCCAGGCCCAGGGGGAGAAACGAGCACAGGAATTTTTTTGACGTAGGCTCAGCATGTCTCATGACTCCTCCTGAACTTGTGTTCAACCTGAGTTTTTTATATCTTACTTTGGGGGAACTTTTATCAGCTGATAGACTCAGGCATAAAATATCCCCAAACATGGGCATTCTGCTGGAAGAGGGCAACAGCCTCGAAACGTCCCTCTTAAATAGCAAAAAAAATTTGAAGAACAGTCCCTCTCTTGGATCACAATAAAGATATCATTAAGGTGACCCCGAAACACAGCTACAAATACCACCAAGACTAAGACACACTAAGAACTGAACAACTTTTATACAAAATCGACCACCGTGCCCCTCAGTTTCACTTATTCACCAGGACAATTTACCCACCAGCTGATTACACACACCAAGGGATGCAGAATGTTCCCCAAGGCTCAGACCTTCACAAATTTTTGCCTCAGTCCCATGAAGCAAAGAGAAATTAGGCTTTATTCAGGCAAACCCCTCTGAGCTATGAGCCCTCACCACATCAAACTCGTCTCAGTCTCCCAGACTGAGACAAGTGGCATTTTCCTACTGATTTCAGCAAGAGAGAGAGCAGAGGTTTTAATATAATGGTTGTGTGCTGACCCCAGGGGAGATCCCTGCACACCAAAAACATTTCAGAAGGCAACAGGACTCAGAAGAAATGGAGTAGCTATGATTTGCACAAACAACTTCTACCACATGAGCAGGGCCAGGATGGAGAGGCCACAAGAAAAACACTCTAGGCATGGAGCCATAGCTCAAGACAATTGAAAACAGGCACAGTAATGAAGATGCAAACAGATCCTATCTCACAAACAGTTCTATAGCCAGTTTTGACTATATTAAAGGACAGGGCTCTGAGCAACCTGGTCTAGTGGAAAGTGCCCCTCTTTGGAAAGAGGTCATTCCTTAAGGTCCCTTCCAACCCAGGTCATTCTATGATGCTATGCTATGACTTCAGCATTCTTAGTCTTACAGCTTGAAAAGCACAATATATACACAAAATCTATTCTCTGTATTTTTGCACCTTGGTATTATGTCTGGTTTATGTATCACACATGTCCCATGCAATACGTAGTACATTTCAATATGCATTTCATACAGTGTGATGCAAGGCATTAATGGCTGCCTTTGCTTCCATACACATGCAGACGTGTGAATGCAGAATAAACACTTAGAATTCAAACAAGAAGGACTTTTCCTTGCAGGAAAATCTGCCAGTGGAACCTGAAAGCATCCATTTCCCTTTCTCACCTGCTGGCAGAGCTTGAAACATTTTCCAAGTTAGGTGTAAGGCAGAGCTGACTGAAACTAATGAAGTGTTCTGGGAAGCAAAACATGTATTTGAAGATAGGTATCTCTGGTCCCTTGGCAAACCCGGCACTGCAGGCCAAGCTGTGCATATTTTGCATGGCTGGCACAAACTGCTCTCACAAAAGTGCAAAAACACTGCTGTCCCTCTTCTCCATGGAATACCAGGAACTGGCTAGGCCAGCAACACAGCAAAAGCATCTCTTCAGGGCTCGCTGTTTCTCCCCTCATTCAAAGGGTCTGGAGGACGCTGCTGGCTCTGTGCAGACAGCTTTGGGAAGTTTGTATCCGTGCCAGTCTCAGTTTCAAATGTTGACACGCTCGCCCTGGGGAATTTTGTGCCTGTGACTTGCTAAACCAGCGCGATCCTTGCACAGCACAGGTGCAGAGCTCCCCGCGGTCAGGATTTTCCTGCCATGTCAACAAAACGCCAGCATGCAAACTTCCCTCGGCTACACAAATGCTCAATTAAAAAAAGCAGCAGAGTCAACTGCTCTCACACTCCAGAATACAGAGCTGGGTGTCTGAAGCACAAAGCACATCTCATTAAACGCTATTGTGTGAAGATGAACTCTGCAGATAACAAATGAATTCACTCCAACACGCCTTGCATCAGAAGGCACTTACCACTATGAAGATTAAGTTGGTACTATAAAAGCCAATTGACATCAGGGCACTGGCATAAACAAGGCTGAGATAAGCTCAAAACACAGAGAATCTTCACCAAGCCTGTTGACTGCTTTAAGCCTGTTTTTGATATATGATGTATGGTCGCAAGTAGCAAAGAGCTTTTAGATTTATGCACCTTTTTTTCCTTTTTTTTTGTAACACAAACCAGGAGGATCTTTTAGCATGCCAAGGGTTGCAAAGAAGGCAGGCATCTGCTTGCTGGCTTTCCCCTACAGCTGCAGAGCTCCCTGTGATCCCGGCTGCAGTGTTTCCATTATTCAAAGGCAATGGCATGGCAGGCGTGACTGATCCCACAGCCAAGGGCACCCGCTGGCACAGGGACTGAGGGCACGGCTCCAGCCAGATGTTTGCAGCCCCTTTAACTGTTTGCTCTGCTGAATGCTTCTGTTGAAGTAGTGGCAAGGGCTTCTCTGCTAGTGGAGTTACAAGGCTTGGTTTCAGAGCAAATGTTGGATTAAAGCAGTCATCGAGAGCAGATAAAGAAATGCACAAGGGAGTGGGGATGACAGCTAGCACTCCACAGAATAAAGCAAGAACATTTCTGGCTGCACACAGCAATGAGAAACAGCACATCAGGCCAGAAGAGCCCATTATCACAATCATTCTGTTTACGGTATCACAATTCACAGTCTGGCATGTAAATGCTGAATAGATCCAGCTGCTTGTAGGAAGACAACTGTAACAGCAGCTTGCAGCTCCGTGTCTGGACTCAGGACAATAAAACCCATCACACCTCTGTCAGCATTTTCTTCTCTTTATATCCCTGGTTATTGGGAGGAATGAAATTGGAATATTTCATGGACTCCAGGTCTTCTGCTTCCAGGAATTCAGATTTGCTGAGGGACTGATTACTGTCCCCCTTCTTGGGCTCAGAGAAGGGTGACTGCTGCTGGCCACAGGTGACGTGGGTGTACTGGCACTGCTCCTCGTGGTCAGTCTCTCGGTGGTAGAAGTAGTTGAAGTTGGACACGATGACGGGGACAGGCAGGGCAATGGTGAGCACACCTGCGATGGCACACAAGGAGCCCACAATCTTGCCGCCAATGGTCATGGGATACATGTCCCCATAGCCCACAGTGGTCATGGACACCACAGCCCACCAGAAAGCATCAGGAATGCTGGTGAACAGTGAGTCAGGGTCGTCAGTCTCTGCAAAGTAGACAGCGCTGGAGAAGAGGATCACCCCGATGAAGAGGAAGAAGATGAGGAGGCCCAGCTCCCTCATGCTGGCCTGGAGAGTCTTCCCTAAGATCTGCAGCCCCTTGGAGTGCCTGGAGAGCTTGAAGATCCTGAAGACTCTGACCAGGCGGATGACTCTGAGGATGGCCAGGGACATGGCTTGCTGCTGGCCTCCGTTGTTGCTGCTGCTCCCAGGTTGCTGCTTCTGCTGCTGCTGCTGGGCCAGCTCGGTGCCCAGGGTGATGAAGTAGGGGATGATGGCCACGATGTCGATGATGTTCATGATGTTGCGGGAGAACTCGGGCTTGCTGGGGCAGGCGAAGAAGCGCACGAGGAGCTCGAAAGAGAACCAGATGATGCACAGGGTCTCGATGAGGAAGAAGGGGTCTGTGAAGAACGGGCCGGAGCCGGCGGCGGGACGCAGGGGCGGGGGGGTCCCGCTCGGCGGTGGCAGCGGCGGCAGCAGCAGCACCTCGTCCCCGAGCGGCGCAGCGTCCCCGAAGCCAGGCTGGGGGCCCTTGGGCTCCTGGCGGAACTCAGGCAGGGTCTCCAGGCAGAAGATGACGATGGAGATGAGGATGACCAGCACGGAGACGATGGCGATGGCCCGGGCCGGCCCGGAGCTCTCGGGGTACTCAAAGAGCAGCCAGACCTGGCGCTGGAAGTGATGCTGGGGCAGGGGCTTCTCCTCCTCGGGGATGAAGCCCTCGTCCTCCCGGAACGTCTCGATAGCCTCCTGGCCCAGCTGGTAGAAGCGGATCTCCTCCAGGAAGATGTCGAGGGGCACATGGACCGGCCGGCGGAGCCGGCCCCCGGACTGGTAATAGTAGAGGATGGCGTCGAAGCTGGGCCGGTTGCGGTCGAAGAAGTACTCGTTGCGGAGCGGGTCGAAGTAGCGCACCCGGCGGCTGGGGTCCCCCAGCAGCGTGTCGGGGAAGATGGAGAGGGTCCGCAGCTGCGTCTCGAAGCGCAGCCCCGAGATGTTGATCACCAGGCGCTCGCTGCTGCAGCAGCTGCCGCCGCTCCGCTCCTCGCCCGGCGCCTCCGCCTCCGCCTCACCGCTCGCCCGCGGGGCCGCCAGCGCCAGCGGCTCCTCCGCCCGCATCCCGCCCGCTCTGCCCGGCGCTGCCCTTCCTCGCCTGCCCTTCCCTGCCCCTCCGCCTCGCCCCGCTCGCCTTCAGCGCCCGCCGCCCGCCGCCATCCGCCTGTTGCGCCTCGGGGCGGCCGCGCTCGCCCGGCGGCTCCGCGGGGCTCCGGGCGCGGCTCCTCCTCCGGCCGGGGCTCGGGGCACCGCGCCGCCGCCGCCGCACCCGGCTCCGCGCCGCGCTCCCCGCGCACACGCAGGGACACACAGCCGCGGAGACACGCGGAGAGGGCGGTGTGCGAGCACACACACGCGCGGGGTCACACACAGACACAGACACGCACGCCGCGCCAGCGCCGACACGCTCCGCTCCAGACGGATGCGCGCACGGGGGATGCTCGCCCCACCTCTCCCCCCGCCGCGGAGGACGCGGCAGCCCCAGCCCAGGGGCGTCGGCTTTTCGGGGGAGACCCCCGAGTGGAAGCCGCCGGGGGATCAGCTCTCCGGCCAGGAGTTTCGCAACAGCTGGTCCGAAGGGCGGCACCGCCGCCGCCCCTTCTTTCGCCCACCTCTCCCCCCTGGAGCCCTGCCCTTGTCCCCTCCGGCAAAACCCTGCCGGGGGCTGTCCCCCGCCGCCGGCTCCGGGCAGGGCTCAAAGCCCAGCCGTGGGACAGGGCTGACCTCGGTGTTGTTCCCGTCCCCCGCCGCAGGCTGGAGTTGACCTTGAGCCAGTCATTCCATGCCTGTGGCTCGCGGACCTCCATTTATAAATGTCGTTGCCGTGATGCAAGCACGACGGTGGCATCGGACCATCCACAGATGGAGACAACCTGTCACTGTGAACTGGGGAAAGATGCAGGTAAATGCAGTTTCTCTCCTCATTTGGGGTGGATCGAGTTTGCCTCTTTTCCCACATACCAAACACGTGAGCTTGGGTTGGTTTTTTAATTATTATTTTTTGGTCCATCACCACACAGCTAGCATTGTCTTCCCAAAATCAGAATCTGCATTTCACAAGCAATCAGACTACCAGCTCTTTTTGGCTTTAGAAACCTGTGGTTTGCCCCGTCCCTGTCAGGCTCGGCATTTGAAAGCGCAGAGAAACTCACGACATTATACTTTCTCCTGAAAGAGAGGAGATGGGCTAACAGGTGACTCTGCTTCCATCCTTCCCAGGGCAAAAGTCTGTCTTTTCCCTTGAAAGCCCTTTGTCGGAGCTAAATGTTATTAACCAGGCTTTTATCATCGCAGCATCTGATGCCTTTGCTGGCTGCAAGCCATGTGCTTAGCCTACACCATCTCTTAGCAGCACGGATATAGAGGAAAACATTCCCCTTTTTACGCCTCCCTCCTCCCAGTCCCTCCTAACTAGCTGGCAATTCCTGGTTCAGGCTCTGGACGTTTTGACCAGCTGATTATGGCTGCTTTCTTTGGCTCTGTTCTCAGGAAGGAGGTGAATATGAATTAAATGTCACTTAATCCCCTTTCCTTTCTTGCTCATTAGCATTGAAGACGGCTGTTGCAAAAGAAAGCATACTTTTTCATTTATGGGGAGATGCCTGTCACACAAGGAAGAGTATTTTTGTTTCATATTATACATAATTGGGGTATGGCAGCCAGATGAAAAAGACTTTGCTGGAGAATATACCTAATCTTTGAAAAAAAAAATTAGAAAGAATCAATGTTTGCCTTTGTAATAGTAAAATGCTCCTTGCTGAAATTTTGTTTTCAATTATTACAATGAATTATTCATTCCCGGGATTATTTGAATCATAATTACGATTTATTCATTTGCAGGGTTAACTATCGAGAAATCCTTTCAAAACAGCTTTCGGAAGGGATGGAAAAGCTCCCGAGGTTTCTAAGAGGACACGCAGGGCATGTCTACATGATGGAGCTGAAGGGTTTAAAGGAGCAAGCTTCAGCCAGCAGAGCAGAGTCAGCGTGGAGCTCCAGCACCCCAAAACTGGCTCAGCATTTTGGGTAGCATCGCCACCCTTTGGGTTTCCTTTAGCTCCCTTTTGCAAGATTTGATGTGATCAGCACTGCAGCTGCCAAAAAATTGTGTCTGTGTAGCATTTTCTCAGCAAAGCCAAAGCTAGAGACCCTCACTCCAAATCTGAGATATCCCAAGTGGAAATCCAGGTTTGCAGCTAGGGCATTCAAAACTTCTTAGCCCCTTCCTTGTCTTCCTGCATTTCCCAGTCACCTCATCGTCTCCTGAACTTTCCAATTCCCTCCTCCACAGCTCCTGTGCTACCCCTATCTTCTGCTTCCCACATTCAGGTACTTTTCCCAGTTATGGAGCTTCTCATCCCTATAACCTTACTACAATTTCTTGACTTGCTTGCAGCCCAGTAGCAAAATACTTTTCATATCCCTTTTCCAGAACTCTTTTTGGGGCTGAAGGCTTCCCAGTATGTGCTGGGGATGCTGACTGAGCACTGGGCCTTCAGCAGAACAGCTTGACATGCTTTGCTGATGTGACATCTTGTAACACTCACCCCCATCAAATGGAGGAACAAGAAAAACACCTTCCATACCTGCAGTATATTTTGGTGATCAATGCATCTGTAAAATCATCCATCAGCACCTTAATGCATAGCCTGGGAGGCACAACAGAACCTCCCACAGGCTGGAGGCCCTGGGGTAGGAATCATTTCCCAGGAGCCAAAATATTCCACACATCAAACAAATCCCCACAGTCTAAAAAGAGCAATAGACAGGGAAAATGAAAAAAAAAATGCAATAGCTGGCAGAGCATCCCCATTTGAAATGGTAATTTACATTTATGCACACTACCAATTACAGCCAACTTCATACTTCCCTTCTTACTCAGAGCCATAAATCTATAAATGAGAGTGCTGAACAGGGGAGGAAGCAGAATTAGCTTGAGCCCTGGAGCTGTTAGGCATACCATTTGGAAACAGGAGTTCTCCTGGTTTGTACTCTCACCAGAAAGCAGGAGAAGCCTGAAAGATGTTTATTAACATCTTCCAAGCATCAGAGAATCAACTACTGCAGCATCAAATGTTCATGGTCAGATCCCTGAGTGCCTTCAGCCTCTTTATTCTAGTCCAAGTGAAGGCCTGTGTTTGAAACGTTGCATTTCACAGAATGCCACAATCACTCAGGGTAGGAAAGAGCAGTGATTTCAGTGCATATGGGCAATGAAACCTTGACTCTCCTATTTGTTTTACACCCCAAGAGGGAAGAAAATACACAATCCTCAGTTTGTGTAACTGCAGATCTCAAAGAACCAGACAAGGTGAGGAGGGCTGGGCATCTAACAATACCCACGTATCCATCATGATTTCATGCATCACCACAAATGAACAGGGATAAAAAAAATCCCAGTTTTCTCAAAACAGAAGTAACCTTGAATATTCTGTGATGGGAAACCCTCCATCCCAGTGCTAGAATCATGGAATGGCCAGGGTTGGAAGAGATCTTAAAGGCCCTTCCAAATCCTATTCCAAAGCCCTGCCATGGGCAGGGGGGACATCTTCCCATAGCCCAGGTTGCTCAGATCCCCATGCAGCCAGGCCTCGAGCAGTCTCTGTGCTGCCCTTTGAAAAGGGTGCTTGTGCCACTGCTGACTGATGGAGGAAAAACTGCACTTCCACAAAGTGAAGGTGACAGTCTCATTCCCTGGATCAACCCAGACTATTCCTGGAATGCTGTCCTTTCTGTGTGTTGAATGAGGACAAGTTCTTGTACTGGCAAAAATTATATAATGGTATAACTGAAGATTTTGTGACAATAGTGGGATAAATGGAGGAGTGGAAGACAAAACAGCTTCAACCAGAAACTTTCATACAAATATTTCCTAGCTTTCAAGTACTTCTGTTAACCTAGAATGCCTTAAATGCAGTGTTTGTCTTGGGATTCCCCCCAAAATTCTATCTACAGATAAGTAATTTCTAAACCTTTATTGTTAAATCCCTTAAGTAGTTCCCATGTAAATACATAGGGGTTTTTTTTCAGATGCCCTTTCCCAGAGAGATGCTGTGGATGTGTTTCAGGGACTTCAGGCTCCCCTTTATCACAGGAGGGAAAACATCCTGTCATGGTTTTTAGGTCCACAACACAACCCTGTAGTGTGTGAGCAAATGAAGGAGTGTGACAGGCAGTGACAGCAGCATGCAGACCCCTCCCCAGGGAAAGATGGAGGGTTTCACAGCTCTTTGCTAGGCAGCTTAAAATGACTGAGGTGTACAAGCCCTGTGTCAAGTTTTGCAGCATCAGATTTGTGCTTCAGCTGAATTTTGTCCTCTTGTGGGTCTGTTCAACCCCTTTTGCTCTTGCACTCCAATATTCAATTTCCATTCTTTAATTTATTTCCATCCTAGAGGTCCTGAGGTGATTCCAAGTGTTTATTCTTCCATCCTGTCCATGTCCCATCCTCCTTCCCATGTCCTGTTTTCCCCCAGCCTTTTCAGTTTGCTGTTCTATCCCTCCTCATTTCCCAGTTCCTTCTGCTCCAATCCTTTCATTTAACTTTGGCTCGCACCTAAACCCCAGTACTTCAATGAAGCCCTGCTTCCATGCAAGAGAAAGGCATTATTTCCAAAATGACAAGAGATTCTTGAGAATTCTGCTGTGGCATTTGGGCCCTCCATATCTGGGTGCCCATCCACTGCTTTCCAAATGTAGTGAGGAAAATTATTTTAGCCCAAGTCCAGAATGCCCTTGCAAGGCGTGCTGGCTGAGAGCAGCTTGTACATACTGCCAGTGGCACCTCTGATGGTTTTAGCTGGTGGTGCAATGTTTTCTGAGTGGCCCAGGAAATTATCAGTGCCTTGTATGCTCTGTAAGGCTATGTGGAAGGAAAAAACTTCTGCTTCTTTAAGGCAACCCAGTCAAGGACCCTTTCAATGCAAAGAGAGACTCTTGACAAGGGCCTGGAGGGACAGGACAAGGGGGAATGGCTTCACACTGACAGAGTGTGGGTTTAGATGGAATATCAGGAAGAAATCAGAAATTATTTCCTGTAAGGGAGGCACAGGTTTCCCAGGGCAGCTGTGGCTGCCCCATCCCTGGCAGTGTCCAAGG